ATAGTAATAATATTGTAACGCTTAAAACAGGTATAACGAATAAAAGATATACAGGATGTCGCAAAAAGGCTAAATGTATATAGACAATAGGATGATTTAACCTAACTTACCTATATCCAAAGCCCTGTCTCAACCTTTTTGCGACACCCTGTATAATTTAATTTGAAAATGTATGTAATGGAGAAGACCGAAACGACAACTTATTTTTCAGCAATGCTAAAAGAATATATAGGAAAGTATATTAGAATTAATGGAAAGGAAACTGTTGAAAAAGGGCCCAAATTTATTATCTACACATATTATTTTTGTGTCCTCACGGTATAAAAACAGATGTAAACTCAACGGCACGTTGTGCGCTCTACCTGTATGAGTGATATATCTTGAAAGAGGAAAAAAGGGAAACACCATTAATACAATTGCAAACGATACTCCGTTCCGCGCTCGACAAGGGATCCGGCTAACAATTTATAAAGATCAAGCGATCAAGTCGCTTAATGGACCAAAAAATGGAAAATAAAATTAAATGAAGGAAAAATCGGTATACACGTGACGTTTACTAACAGAAGAATTACAAAATGAATTACGGTTTTTTCTTTTGGCTAAATATCTAAGTTTGACTTTTATTACTTCCCTTATTCCCCGATGGCGAAGTAATATTAAACTTGATAAATTGTACTGCAAAGGAAGTAACTTCTCTCTTTCGAAACAGAGTTATATGTATAGCTGATTGATTGTTGTACAAAATGTGCAAGAGTGATCATTCAAATGCTCGTAACACCGTTGGCAATTTCTGTGTTTACCGGTAAAAATAAAACAGAGATTTATAATTCTCGTCTAATTCGGTTTTTTATTTGTAAACTCAAATATTCCACTCAGCGACTCGCTGAATCCCCCGGATTTAATATAATAGCCGGAATAACAGGATAATTAGTTTTTAATAGAACCACTCTTCTATTAGAATTTAATGAAACTTCAAGTAACCTCAAAGATTTTATTAAAACGCTATATTATACGAACAAGGAAGGCTAATGTAGGAAATTATAGAACCGCTTCGGCAACAAACAAAACTTCATTAAAAAGGGTTAGAAGTAGAGAAGTGGAGAGTAGGTTTTTCAGATGGGGCTCTTTTACGAACTAGACCCGCGCAATTAACCCTACCTATTACGCAATCCATTAAGAAAGCGGGGCCGCACAAAGGGGGCCCCGAAGCGGTGCTAGCGAATTTCCACTTCCTTCGATAATAGCTACAGGAACGTCCGAAAACTATTAGAAAGGAAAACGATTAATAGTATTGCCAACCGAACTGTCAATTATAATTAACATCTCACGTGATACGAAACACAATTTACTGCTTAATTACCAACCAGTCATATTTGAACAATTGCTAATTAATTGATCGAATGCGCTAATCTACTTAAACAACGAAAAATTAACAGTTCACAGAGCACAAAGTTACAACACGAAATGGTCACTGACTGAATAGCTCTATTATTAAAATACCCAACATATTCAACATACAATACAAAAAAATTGTTAATTTAATACTCTTATTATAATAGGTATCATTATAGTCTCTTTGTGTAATATATTATTAAATAAATAGTGGGTGTTAGTTTGAGCGGGTAGCCCAATCTTAAAAAGGACTAAAAGCGAATTTTCCTCTCGTACATTTTCCAGGATTTACTCGAATTGTATTAAATATTGATCTGTTGGAAAGGTGGCTTTCCAATGAGAAAAATGAAAAGGTCTCTCTTGCCGCTGCCAAACATAATCCCTGCAAGGCTTAAGAGAATGCCTCACAGAGAATTAAATACGATATTGAAGTATTATTGCCTGTGGATTATAGATAAATGGTGGAAGTGGTCCAGAAACTCGGAGATCCTTTTCGGAAATCCAATTCGAAAAGCGTTGATGTTAATTAGAAAAACTCGCTGTTTGGGGGATTATTATACTCGACCAAATAAAAGGAAATAAACCTATTATTATAATAAATTAAGTAATTTAGGAATTTTAAGAGGGGCTGTTAATCAAATTGTTATTTATTGAAAAATCGCTGATCTGCATATCAAAAGGGGGGTTGTGGAAAATGCGATTAGTCGGAAAATATCGTTGTGTCACGTCGACTAATTTTATGTAAGATATAAAGTAAAGTCGAGCTTGCAAAACAGAGGGAGGGTTGAGTAAGTAGGTACACTTTCATCCCTTTCCGCGTATTAAAATACATTTAATACGAATTTATTTCTATTATATTGAACAAGCTTCATTTGCATTTTAAATTCCCTTTATTCTTTTATAATGAGGGCTTGTTAGATGAATTTACAATGCAATTTTATTCGATATCACAATCATGTTACTCGGAATTATTAATTCGGCAAGTTATAAAAAAATTCATTTGTAGAAAAGTCGCATTATCGGCGAGAATGCAGTTCGAAAGAATGCCTAATTTCTTTATTAAATCCGCGATTAAACGTCCTCAAAATCGTTTACCATCGTATCTACTTAGTTATTTGAAATTGCATATTATGCTTCTACATTTCTGAAGAAGTCGCGCTTAATAAACGAAACGTCGGGCTAGTGAAAAACTAATTTTCGCAAACACGCCTGTTTCAACTCGACGAGAGATAATAAAAGTCTCGAAAATTGAGATAAAAGGAAACTATTAGAGAGGAACGTTTATTTGATATGAATTTTAAAACGAAACGGGAGTCAATATTGCGGAGCAATGCAGTTTTTCTGTATGTGTATGCATACGAATGGCCAAAAGTACGTGTATGTGTATGTACGATTCATTTTCCGGTTTTCATTGTCCCGGCCGCGTTTAATTAAAAATAGTTACGCAAACCGCGCGTTCTAAAACAAATTGTTTACGGCTTTAAAAAGCGCACCATAAATTAGAAAGCGTAATAACCGGAAAAGTTGGCCGGAAAAGTATTTAAATAGAAAGCGAAACAATAAAAAACGCCAACGAAGCGCCCGGTCGCCGAGCATATACCGAGCGGTATAATAATAATAAGATGAGAAAAGCGAAAAGCCTACCTCAAAAGCACAGCCAAACAATAGTGAAAAGGCACCCCAGACGCACAGAAACGGCACGAGTTTTCTCTCGGCGAACTTGTCTATAAATGTGGCCGTTATAGCTTAACCCGTCGCACAGTCGCGTGCTGCCTTTTCGGGAAGCGTGCGCTTTATCTGACCCCTCTCGACCCCCAAACCCTGTTGCTTCTTTCAGTTAACTGTTCATCTAGATACACCCTCCGATGAAAAATATCTCAAATGCTCTATAATGTGCTTATAACGGCCTTTCCTCATTTGGCCAATTTACGCTTGCTTTATCAACGAACAAATGTCATACCTACATTGGACTCGAAATTAATTTCGAAAAGAAAAAAAAGGGAAAATCTTTTTCCGAGCGAGTTTCAAAATAAATTGAAGAGCCTACAGACCGATAGGTATAGCTGCAGACATGAGAAATGCTATGCGCAATTATTTATATCATTTATTCATTAGCAACAAATCTTGGTCTTAATTAATGTTTTTAAAGATTTATATTTGAAAATTTTTAAGGTTTTTTTAGACCTAAATTAGAAATAAAGTAAAATAAAGTTTTTCTCAAATTTACAAAAGCTTTTAAAAAAACTAAATTCTATTAAATTAAGTTTAAATTTCTCTCATAAGCAATTTGTAATTTTTTGGGTACATTGGTTTTTACAGAGATCTATAATTTCTGTAAGTAGTTCTATGTATATCTAATTTCTATAAGTAGTCTGGATGTACCCTTTTAGTACTTAAATTATCGAGCCTATAGTTATGAAAAAAATTCTATTATATTCCTCATTTATCGCAGAATCAAAAAGTTAATACAGCTTTTCTGAATATTTTTCCTTTTTTTAATAATCAAGATTGCAAGATTGCACGATGAAATGTGCCAAAGTAACGAAGTGGCGAAAATATAAAAAAAATCTTGATTACTACTGGTCTATTACTGGCACACTTACCCTATATTTTTAAATTTCCTGTGTCTTTGATCAAAGACGATTTTTTGAGAGGAGAGCAAATTGTCGACCGACCCCGGTAAAAATGCCGGCATCAGATGAAGATTCGCCATAAAACTAAATACTGATTTAATGCCGACATTCAAGGTATCCGAGCCCCTATGCGCGCCGCTAGTCAAGCTGAAAAATCCCCGCTTCCAGTTTCCAACGCACACACGTCAACTTCATGCGAGAACTCGAGAATTATAATGATACGAGGGGCGGGCGAAATGCACCAAGAAATATTCCGCTTACTACAAAAAAACCCTAGCGTATTCCAAAGTATAAAATCCAATTTTCCTAGAAGTATGCAAAAGTTTTATACTGTATAAAAACGTAATTTAGTAATTACAACTTTTTTTAAGGATTAAGGGAGCAAAACGTACAGCATAAAAATCGAGTTTTAATAATTAAAAGAAGCAAAAAACTATCGAAAATAGTTCGCATGAATTTCATCCTGTATTTCCCTCAATTGGTATTCTTGGCGAGCGCTCGGGTTTTTGAAATATCGATTAAATTCGATCGATACCTCCATTTAGTCGTTATTAACTCGAATTTTCCTAGCGCTGTGCATTTCTAACGTCGAAATTTCCTCATTGATTTTCATAAGTTTTTAGTTTCTCGTTTTAACGCGGCTTTTATTACATTTTCCGATGTGTCTGAAATTTCGCGAGGATCCTGTCGGAAAAAAACTTCGCTCCGAATACTTTCAAAAAACTTTAATGTCGATTTATCGATACAAATTTATACTGATAATTAATAACAATATAACAATAAAAAATGCGAATAGAACAATTCAAACGAAAACATTATATACAATGAACTTACTTACCAAAAAATTTAATACTATGAAATACTAGTCACTAACAGTACCAATATGGTTAAATATGTAATAGGAAAAATCGAGTAGGTAGTTGATTGATATATCGATAAGTGTCCATCCTATATATACAACAATAAAACGGGTCCTTAGACTTCCACTTTGAAAGGGGAACCGGGAATGTGATCGTCACCCCATTTCGCCACAATTAAGTACGTACCTCTATCCCGAATAATGTAATTAACAGCATATTGATTATGGCCTTGATGTTTTATGAAAACCTCCTCGCAGGGTCCTTTGGGTCCGTGTATACCGACAAAGAGGATATTTTCACCTAAGAAAATTTAGATTAATTCAGTACTACGTAGAAATAATGGTGCCATTAATTAAAGCGCTAAGAAAGTTACAGAAAGACACAATAACATTAAAAGTCGCTAGAACCGATTTAGTGCTTTTTAGATAAGTGTCATGCATACCTGCAGTGTTTGCGGATATGGTGAATTGATTCTGCTTTCCGATATACGCCTTCTTCAAGCCCATGCCCTTCGATAGCACTTTGGAAGCGTTGCTCTTAAACGTCGGCATCGTTGGACCTTTGTTGTTGTTATTAGCACTGCCTACTTTCGCTACCGTTTCTACGACTACCGAGGAGGATTCCTGGCCGCCGATGTCCGCTACTTTTTTATCACCTGCACGATAACATCACGATTTATTTATTACCTCGTCAATATTTATTCAACTAGACAATTACCTTTACTTATCACTTTGAAGGGCGATCCGACGATGTGGTGGTTATTGTATTTTATACTAATGTAATAGTCTCCCGGCGCTAGCGGCGTATACCGAACTTTATAACCTTCTTCAACTTCGGTACAGTCCATCGAAACTTTACTCGGTCCATCAATATTAACGGCCAAAGTTCCCGTACCGGCGTTGGTAGTGTCAACTATAAAATCAGTTTTCTCTCCTGGAAAAAAGGGAATGAATATAATCAATCCCGACGAGCGACGAAGATTAATTTTTTAGTAGGAAAATACCTAACATTGAAGCTTGAAACATCCCTCATCACATATGGATTGAGCTCTTTATCTGGTGAAACTTTTGCAATAGTTCATTTTACCTATTAATTAAAAACCTGGAGGTTCTCTTAAAAGTTCGCTCACCGGTTTTGATATCCTGAAGGCCCTTTCCGCTGGCATGTACAGCGGCCGGATCGGCCGTGTCCTTTCCGACTTTAACACTAAAGGGCGATCCCGGTATGTGGACCCCGTTGAATTTCACGTGGATTTTGTGCACCCCATTTTCGTGGGGCATAAACCGAACCGAATACTCCTCCATGTCGATGATTTGCACGAAGCAATCGTCCTCGTGGCTCGACGGACCGATGATCTGGAATCAAACAGCGCAAATTAACTCGATAATTAATCAATTAATTTCTATCTTACTTTAGCGTCTAAATCTCCTTTGGCTCCGTTTCTTTTTACAATGAAGAAGGATGGCTTGTCAGCCTGGATGAATCCTTCGGGAAATTGGACTACCTCTAGGAGGTGGGCATCGCCGACGGCCGGTGATATGTACACTTTAAACGGGGAGTCCGGAACGTGCTGATCGTTGAATTTCAAACCTATTCGGTATTCACCTGGAAATTAACAAAGAAGTTTATGTTAGCGATTTTTTTATATTTGTTCAATTGAGCATAATGTATACAAAGAGTTTCAGATTTTGGGGACTATACGGAAATGTATCATGAGAAGATACATTTTAGGACCTATGGACCTCTAATGGACTTGAAACGAGGCTAAAATGGACCTAAATAGAACTAAATAAATGTAAACGAACATACATGGACCTATAAATGGTTTTATATGGACCTAAATGGGTCTAAATATAGCCTTATAAATAGACCTAAATGGACCTATAATTGACAAATAATGGACCCATATGGACTTATAGGAACCAACATAGACCTATAAATAACCTACAATGGATCTAAAAAGGGTCCACAAGGACTAAAATATGGACCTATAAATGAACTCAAATGGATCTATTTGGACCTAAAAGGGCCTTATAAATGTACGAAAATAGACCTTAGTGGAAAGTATCTTCTTCTTTTAATAGTAGGTACAAGGAATTGGGATATTGTAATAGGCGCTTTTACAAATTCATGAAATTCAAATGATTTTCATTAGAAACATACGTTTAGATCTCGTTCGCGTTGTAACGGCGTGGAAATTCGACTGAAATTACAAATCATACAAATCGCACCCTTTAACGCGCTTCCAGCTACGAGCGACGCGAAATTCCGGATCAAATAATAACAGATAATGGAACCGAATTTAAAAACAGCGATTACTAGCTTTACATAAGATAAAAGTTCTTCTTAGCGCCCGAAGGATTCGCATCGATTTCTCCGATTCACGAGATATCCGTTTTCGACGGTTAACGAACACATTAGAATACTTAATACTGTCGGTTTCTCCGAAACGCCAATTCGAATGAGAATTGGAATCAACCGCCTCCCGTCTTGGTCTCTGTATTCATATCATACGTTTTTCTTCTACCGAATTTAACGCGATCGATACCGACACGGCTATGACCGAAAATCCATTAATTAAAACTTCAGCGACAAGTTGATTGTCAATTTCACGAATTACATAACTTAAAAATAGCGAGGGGATTTAAAACTAATTTAGTGAAAACGCCAATTGTGCTAAATTAATAGTATTGGCTCAACACGTACACTGAACCAAAACAAACGATGGAAATAATAGGAAATACAGAAGGAGAATTTTTAGAACTTAATAATCTAGTGGTTGTGAGCCAAATCTTCATCAGGAATTCAAGTTGACCAGGGCAAAAAATGTAGATACAAACTCCATAAAATGTGTATAACTAGGATAGGCAAATATATCTTTGTTTTGATGTTTTGGCTCACCTGGTTCGGAAACTTTGTACGAAACATCGCAAGACCCATCCTTGCGATCCGTAAATATAATTTCAGCTTTGCTGGGTCCCTCCACCGATATGGCCAGTTCCCCGCTACCAGCCTCTCTGGTCCAAACGTTGAATTCGTTAAGTTCTCCTTGTTCGCCCCGCTCCAAACCGGCCCCACCGGCTTTGACCAAGTGGGCTCCGTGGTCCTTGTATGGCCCGACTGTGAACTGGAATGGTGAGCCTGAAACAACCGATATTGATAAAGAGCAAGCGATGGGGAATAAATGCGAACATACCAGGAATATGAATGTCCTTGTATCTAACAGAAACCGTGTGGACTCCCAGTTCCTTAGGCACGAAATTCACCGCGTATAGTCCATCTTTAACTTCTTTAATTTCCGCGTCTTCCGTTACGCCTCCGGGAGATGTCACCGAAGCGCTGAGATCAAACGACGTAATTCCTATACATTAATTAATAAATAATATATATCGGGTGTTCGAAATAATTTCTACATGTGCAGTTTACCTGGCATTTTAAACGTGAGTTTACATTGACTGCCAACTTCCGTGACGGGAACGGCGTCTCTTTGTTTTTGTATTTTTTCTCGTTGCCTGTTAGTACCTTCACCAATTACCTGTTAAATGTGATAATTAACAGTAGTTTAGAAGTGAGGTGAGATGAGAGAACATACTTTAACAGTAAACGGTGATCCATCAATATGGTGATCAGCAAACTTAAGATTAACGATGTAATATCCGGGTTCTGATGGTTTGTAAGACACATCCAAGGTCCCATCGGAGTTGTCGTTGTATTGTATATCCGCTTTGCTGGGACCCTCAATGGACAAGGACAAACCACCGAAACCGGCGTTTCTCGTATCGACGTTAAACGTATTGTTGACGTGCGTCTTGCCCTCTTTGAGCGCCGCCCCGGCCACTTTGACCTTCTTGGCGTCGCCCACCTCGCGTTCGCACACGTTAATTTTGAAAGGCGAGTTCGTGATGTGCGTTCCCATTTTCTTGACGCTGACTACGTGCTCGCCGATCTCCCTCGGCGTGAACGAGATGCCGATGTTGCCGGTGGGCAGTCGCTTCAGGAAGCAGGGCTCCTCCAAGCCGCTCGGCGCCTGGATGGAAGCGTTCAGCGAACGTATGTCGGCGTCGGATATTTTACCCGGCAGGGATACCTCGCTGCAGGAACCCACCGAGATTTGGTTGCGCTTCCTGCCTTCGCCCGTTATTTTCGCGTTGAACGGTGAACCTGACGCAATTGTTAATTACGCTTGTGATCTAGTATTTAGTTGATATTTTTTTATCCTTACCTATCCTACACCACACTAGCATTTTACTATCCTTTCCTATTTCTTACAACTGTTTATTACCCTGGCTTACATTTCACTTACATTTTCCTTGACACAAGCTTCCTTGCAGCACCCTACTTCATTCTAAACTACATTACTTTGAACTACTCAGACCTACTTTAACCTAACCCGATCTATCCTACCCTACTCTGTTCTTCCATGATCTATCCTGAGATAATATCTTGACTTACCCTGACCAAGACTGACCTACCATGAGCTACCCTAACCATACTGTCATCATATCCTGTTCTATACTAACCTACTCTAACTGACTACCTATGCTAGTTATATGAATAATAAATGATAAACCTGGCAAAGTAGTTCAAAAATAAAAGACAAAAATTGCAAATCAGCAAACTAATATTTTTTTAACCTGTACTTCATCTACTAGTATAAAGTTTAACCAGCATTTCTTCAATAATTTATGATCCCATATTTTTTGTGTTTTGAAATCTTTGCCAAACGCTTTAAAAAACCTTGTAAATAAGCAAATAAAATAATAATAAGAATAAGTAACATACCTTTAATGTGTTTGTCTCCGAATCTAACAGAAATTTTGTATTCACCCGGAGCAGTAGGCAGATAGGAGACGGAAACAGTTCCATCTTTGTTGTCAAGGCAACTAATTTCAGCTTTACTTGGTCCTTCAACTGCCATTGACAAACCTCCTGATCCCACCCCTGCAACAACGCCAGAATTTGCAGGCTCTGAATCGAGCGCATTAATTAAAGCGGAGATTAGATTAGCTTCGAATTAGTAATGCACGTATGCAAGAAATTTCCTATAAGTCATGAAATGGCAAAAATACGCGTTATCTGTTGGTGTGCACGCGTACCGCGTCGATGGAATCACGGTTAATTGCGAGACAATTGATAACGTTTTATTACCTTTGGTGGATATGGTGAAATTGCTGGGCTCCCCGGATACTCCGTGCGTCAGTCCCGGACCGTAAGCGGTTACGTATCCGGAACTGATGGAATCCACGTGTATCTTATAAGGGGACCCCTGAATGTGCTCCCCATTGTATTTCACGGAGAGCTCGTGAACACCTTCTTCGCGTGGATCGTATTTAACGGTAACCGTTCCATCGCAGTTATCTTCGATTATCGGCTTGTCGATTTTTCCGTTGGGCATTTTTATTGTCGCTGAAAAATTAATTCATATACCCAACCTCATAAAAAATTAAAAAGATATTAAAAATAAAGCGTTCAAACTAAAGTTAAGTACCTAAATAAATTTCACTTGGACGAGTATGATAATGATCTACTCAACTTTAGAGGATGAGCGCTTCAATAAGTACCTACATATCATAGGTGTTAGTAGATGTTGTGAATGTTAAGAAAATAATTCAAATCGACTAAAATTTGTGTTATTTAGTATTATTTTCATTATACATAATAGAAATTACCAACCGGAAATATCACCCTCGTTACAATGAAGCGGGAGATTGCGCAATTGAATTGTTCGAAATAACTGTTTGGTTACTTTTTCATCGGCTTGTGGGTGATATTTTGATTTACTCGATTCTTCTTCCTGCAACAAAATCATCTTTATCAAATACGTACAGATAATTATGCTTATGTATAGAGTTCCCTAACTATAAGAGTCACGTGTATAGGAAGACCTTATGAAGGCACTGTACAACAATAATAGCACAAATTAATATTCAAAAATATAGGTAGGTACGCCATAAAATGAACGGGAATTTACGTCCTATATAACATGAAATCTAATCGACATAAATTAACATTTATTGGACAGTCACAGATTGATTTCGGTAGCAAAGTGAATTGGGGAGCGTTTAATTTAACGACTATTAATCATATAATTATACGTAATGTACAATGTACATTGAAACGGAGATTATAAACGAAATTTACGATCTAATCAAGATTTCGCACGCATTAGCGTTCTTAAAAACTATTTTCACGCGAATATTTTTAAGTACGTGTGCCGCGCAACAATGCGTACATACATTATTATTTTTGAGATATTGTACTTGCACTTGTTAACCATCCATTTCTCTTGATTTGGCGCCAATTAATTTAATTTAAATATATCGGTGGTTTTATTAAGCATAACAAAACAGTAGATTGCGTCTGTGGAATATTAATTATATTTAAAAATATCTAATTAGATTTTTTAAACTGCAGAATCCCGTTTCGTTTAAATAACTCTTTTTATCGATTGTAATTTCGAGAATAGTGAATGCGTTTTTGGCAGGCGTAGGAATTTTATTCTCACTTAACAATCGATTTATATCACCTTTAATGTTAGCGCGATTTTACAACGGAAACGCTCGCTGCATTTTAATCACAAATATTAATTATTTGCTCTAAAATAGCGTGTCAGTAATATAGCTTGTCGCATTCGCTTCGATCCAGAAACATTAAAATAGGTTGTATAAGAACACTTTTTGAATCATTAATATTTAGATATTTAAGATGTTTTCTGGCAACTATAATATCTAGCAAAAGATATAAAAATATTTAGTGAGTTATAGGTAAGTATACCGAAGGATTTAATAACGCTAAATTAAAATGTTGTTATTTTATAACTGGTAGCAGTGGATAATTGAATATTTGAGGTAATTTAATTGGTAAAATTACCGCGAATTCTTAAATCCAGTAAAACATTAATGCAAACAGTACATTTAACGAAAATATTTTAATTGAAAACACAAATAACAATGGTTCAAAAGAATGTAATATTCCAGAATTAAATATGTAGGCTTTGTCGGGTAATAGGTATAATGTATTATTCGCATAATAATGGATCTAAACAAAATTGGGATTTTTTTATAAACATAGTTTAAAAGGGAAAGAACTAATTTTATTGTGTTTCAATGTATGTTTAATGTTAAATATCGTAAATAACCGATTGTTGGAATAATATGCCCGTTTGTTATTTATTGTGTCAAATTTTTTGAAATTAATCGTTTGGTTGGTAAAATTAATTTTATATGGGTATGTCAATATTTTGATATTGAAATGACGTGCTGTTAGTTTTAAAATATCGAATTGAGAATTATCGAAAACTGTAGAAACTTAACTAAACAAACATTTATTAGGAAATTCTTTTTTCGTTTTACTTTTGTACTGAATAATTAAATATTAAATTGTTTGACTTAATATCTAAAAATAGGTTCAAATATCCTATGTTTATAATATAAAAATTATACAAAAACACACGATTTTGATTTATTATACGACTGAAAACTATTTTTAATTTTTTTCCCAACGCAAATTGCTATTAATTAAGAGCGAATCTTTAATGTCGTTGCTACAAAATTACTATTCCCGTCGGTTCCCAAAGATTTCATCAAAAAATTAGTATTGTTGATAGTTGTCTTGTATACGTTTTCGAGATATTTTAATTGTTCGATGGTGCCAAAATTCCTTATCACTCCAAACAGCACATGTCTCCGTCACCTGTTACTTTGCTTAAAAATAGATTTTTCAATTAAATTGCCTGAGATGTAGCACGTTCTACGGGCCGAAAGGCCATTTATTATGATTATTACACCTTCCGAATAAACCAGTTTTCCTCGAATAATTTCTAAGATTATCGAAATAGTTCGATTTGCTTCGAGTTTTCATCGGTTTCAGCTGCGAGCTGTATCGCAGCTGTTGCCAAACTAAATATCGAAATCGCTTATTTTTTGAATGTATCACCCAAGATTATCTTCATCTGTCATCGTACACAAACGCTTTGCCACTCAACTGATTAATCCATTAGTAACAGGTTCGGATTCTATCTATTATTACTATAATCCTTAATATTTATAGGTGTTTTTACAATATTGATCTCGCGGGATGATCCGTTATTTTTATCTCGCCTTATTTAATTTTATTTACGCGAATCTCGATGCACATTTTACGATATTGATATTAGAGCTGTTGAATAAATAATTGCGCTAGAGAGGTTTAAAGGGAACAATTTATTATGGTATCGTAACCGTGTGCTTTTATCGCTGTTTTAGTTGGCGAAAATTCGCTTAGAAGCTCGTAAAGGGGGCAAAAGCCCCCCATAAGTTTTCGTTTGTTCACGTTTGATACTTTTTATCGATCTAGTTAGAAAAATTTAATTTTTTTAACAAGTTAAGGGGTCTTGACCACTTGATCTCCCTTAGATAACTCTATGTGAGATTCATTATAAGTTGAAGTTTAAAAGTAGTCGTTTGTAACTAAAAAAGTGTAAGAAATGGCGAGAATGAGATTTATATCCTGGGAATCTTAGGATTTATATAGCACTAGAAAAACCTTTTATGAGGGTGCTTGTATATAATTGGGAATTTAATTTAAGAGAATTAAAAATTGAAATAAGTTTAGATTCAATTTCTTAAGTAAGCATTAAAATTTTATATAAATTCCAAGATCCTCAATATTCGTGTACTGCAGTACAGTTTAAATATTTTATATTTTATCGAGGCGATTAAGCGAATTAAATTAATTCTCTTTCCCAATCAATTAAACAAGATCTATATTCTATTTTAGAGATAGCATTTTGTCATCGAATAAATTGCGTTCGAAACTAAAGAGGAAGCTGCAAGCATTAGCGATATTTTAAGATTTTATTAGTAGTTGTAACATTACCTACACTCTAATATATTTCAGCAGAGATCGCTTGTATAAATAAACTTGACAAAAACGATTAAATATTACCACCAAATACAACTATTTCGAGTTATTTATACAAACAACCGCGGTTTTCTTGCGCTCTTCAACGTGCAAATCCGTCGGCGAAACGTACCTTTCGTGATCGTGTTCACAAGACTGAGACAATTTTATGAAAATGTACCGGAAAATTTCGTGTTTGGTGGGTGCCCGACGTGCGAAGAAGCGGTCATTCGGTCGTCTTCGATCTTTGGTTTTCAACGGAGAATCGACATTTTGAATAAAATCATGATTGAATGCGACAAGATACTTCCGAGTGTCGGCTATGTCGAAAACTATTTTTACGCCAAAATATGCATTCATGTGATTAATAAATTCATAGGATGTTGGGAAAATTTAGCTCTTGGGGGTGGAGCTCCGCCGGTGAAATTAGAAAATTGGAGAGGGAACGGTATCGTCATCGAGATACCAAACAGTGTCTCATTTTAATAATCTGGCTAGACGAAAATAATCTCGATTTGTAATCATGGAATCTTGCTGAATACTCGGAGACGGGGATCTGGTAACAAAAATAGCGCGTTTACCAGTGTCTCCTGTTCAGTTTTCCACTGTCAATTCATTTCAAATTTCCTCTAAACTTTACTCTAACTTTCTCTTATGAAGAATGAACTGAAAGTTTTGTTATTGATACACTTGAATAATGCAAGTTTGTGAAAAACTTAAAAATTAAAAAGAAAAATGAAATATTTTTCTTTTCATATAATCATTAGGATAGGGCAAATCCTTGCAATGTAGGTACAATAGAAAAGTTGGGTTATTGGAATCTCATGATATAGCATAATACAAATTATTTGTATTGTAAAAAAACGTGACCCGTCAAAATAGCCCAAGACAAAATACCTCCTACAAAATAGTCCAAAGACAAAATCACCCAAGATAAAATAGCCCAAAGACAAAATCGACCAAAACAAAATAGTCCAAGACAAAATAGGCCAAAGACAATATAGCCCAAACATAAAATAGGCTGAGACAAAACAGTGCCTGTAAAATTAAAAGCAAGCTATTTATTAGATTTCCAGAGTTTCTAAGATTTTTTTTCATTCCGTTCTATTTTATGGTAAACTAAAATTTCTTTTTATTCAATATAATAATAAACTTCTAATTAATAGAGATATCATAGATTATAGATTTTTCCAAAAAAATATTGAAAAAAATTAAATAACTCCCACATGTTCAGTACCTATCTATCTGTCTGTAGATGGTTTTGTATACATATCATTGCCTTCTTATTTCATTTTATTTAATGCAATATTATACAATCCGATTAATTTTAATCCTGATGCTTAATAAAATAATGACTGATTGTCCTAAAAATATAGCTCGATAAATTCATTATTTCTGATAATTCCTGTACTGTGATGTGTTTTTTTTTCCAAGCTATTTTGTTTTTGGTCTATTTTGTCGCACAGTTCTAACTCGAGCGATTTTGTCTTTGGACTATTTTGTCTTGGGCGATTTTGTCTATGGGCTATTTTGACGGGGTGTCCTAAAAATATCGGAAAATTGGCTTTTTAGAAGGATGATGACTTTTCAGTTCAAATTCTGCTTAATAAATATGTTTTGATAATTATCTTTATTGTATTAAACGAGGCAGGCATATTAGAAATTCAGGCTTACTGATGGGCCTACAAGCAAGGAAATTTTCACTTCGATTATTCGGTGAATTTAATTTATACTTCTTTGTACTCATTTAATGCTGGCGGTAAGTCGTGAATTTAAGCGAATAAAACTGGAAGTTTTCGGAAAATATCGCCCGTTTATTATTTTTGTTCTCTTCATTTGGCGCGTTAATAATTTTATTATGAAAATTGAACGTTTTGTGTATTGTGCAATAATCCAAAAAGCCGCAAACTCTTCCCGAACGAGCACGAATCATCATTAAAAATCTCCCACATCAATAACTCTATTTATATTAATTACTCAGCAAGTCGTTGGGTGTAATAATTTTAAGAAATATTCTAGTTTATCGACACTCAAACAGTCTAATAATAGTTCGTACGTGTTTATTTTTGCGATTATTTTTATACGATAAAGTGAAAGTAACGCGAAATATAAATTAAAATCCAAAAATCGACTTAAAAAAACGAATTAATTACGCCGCTTTTGTAATTTTTTGGTTAATTACGTGTCGAGATATTTGCATTAATTTGAATGAGGGATTAGACGATGATTAATATTTCAACAAGGCAACTTTGAGCGGTTTTCTCTCGCGTCTTCCTAAACCCCTCTAGCTCTAGATAATGTTAATAAATTTTTTCAAACCGGACACTCTTTGTACTAGACTATAAATCGGCCTTCTCTAAACTAAACAAAAATATTTGCCATACCGCAAGATACATAATTACCACGAGTCATATTTAGTGTGATAAATAAAATTGATAATTGAGCCAAATGAAACAACGCAGCGCCAATGCTATTTAATATTTTAATATTCGAATTTTCGTTGGAACACCGAGCGATTTTCTGCAAAACAAATTTATTTCGGAGTTTCCAACAGCCATAAAACTAAACTTATTCGTCGTTTAACGAGTGCAAGAACTAATGGGAGGGCTTTATTTTGTTTTGCGTCGAAAGAAAGGCAACATAGAAATATTATTTTTGATGTTTTTTTGAGATTTATTATGAAAGAATTAAATAGAGTAAATAAGTTTTCATCAAATACTGAGATCAATTGCATCGAAATTTACAAAAAATGTGATAAAGTGCGTATTATTATTCACGGATTTTGCCAAAACCAAAGCAATAACAAGAGGATAATACGGCAATAATTTAGATATATTCTCGAAAAAAGACTAACATAAGAAGAAAACCGTTTATCATAAACTACAATGTTCGTGCTTTAATAAGGACATTTTCTTGGCAAATTTCAAAGGAATCCATAGTAGGTGAAGAAATTTTTATTACCGTCTCGCCTAAAATTTCGGCTTTTCTACCCGCTCTCCGCCCGAAACCCCGACGATACACATATTCCTTTTAATCCTTTCGGCTTGATCTACAACGCATTGTTTGCCGTAGCGCTCGAAGGCACCTCCACATGACTTGCCGGCTCCAACAGAAGTTGGGAAACTGCGAAAAACCCGCAAAACCCGCAACATAATACCCGCGGGATTGACATCTTTGTTCATAATCAATAATAAGGCGAAATTCAAATACGCCCGAAATCATATCGCTTAACTCACTTTCCAGTCGGAAAAGGAATCGGGAAATCGAGCTCGGGGCCCCAGCGGAGAAACCGACGAACGTATTTACAAGCGACATGGAAAATACCAAACACCAAATAACCGTATTTTAGTTTGGGGGAATTTGTTGAACACCACATAGAAACATAAAAAGGTATATAGAACCGCTGAAGTCACTTAAAAACCCATTAATTGCTACTTTATATCCTGTTACAAACTCTATCAAATATGTAGTAAAAAATTGTTGCCTGTACCTATTAGGAGGTAACTTGATACAATAATCAAAGAAAGAATCCTGGATAAAGGGATGTTATTTGAAGAGGAAAATTGTTACAAATCGAAATTACAAGACAGGTGTTTTAAAGCCGGGTTGTGGATGAAGACGAGTGATTAGGGTGAAGGCGAGGTAAGCGAAACGAAGGCGATTCAGTGGTGTGCTGGATTGAAATTGGATCCGGTAAAATACTGAAAATAAAACTAATAGGCTCGGAAGGTGGTGTCTGTATCTTCACAATAGTTGAATTTTCGCCAAGTTTTTTTATGTCAAACAAGCTGCTTTAAATTAATACGAAGTAATTTGTTTCATGTTATTTATTTTCGGAGTTTTATTGTGTAAATATTTCATTAAATTCCAAGTAATTGTAGTAAAACTGGATGTTAAAAGGTGCTTCAGTTTATGGATAAAAATTCAGATGGTTATTTGATAATAAAAAGACATCATTATTTTTCTCTAATTTCACTGTAGATTAGACTTTGAAACAACCCCTATTATAAATTCATTAATTTTAAAAAATACACTTTGTGCATCATTGTAGTGTATTATTTTTAAGACAAACATTATTTAGCTAGGTAAGTATAATTAGTAACTACACTATTGCATTAAAAATAGCCAGAGAATATAAATAGACGCTTCACAAGAAATTGTCGTTATAGGTAAACAGTAATAACTTAATTAAAAGTTTGAATTGGCTCCGACTACATTAATGCATGTGACTATAAAGCAATTTTTGCTGTTGATGTAATTCCTTTGATATTATCGAAATATATATAATTTACCTAGTTAAAATGAAAATTATTTATATTGCATAAATTTACTTCAAAAAAGATAGTGAACACAACAAAACGAATAAGTCAAGCAATCAATATTCTCATTATTCCATGAATTGGTTTATTTATTTATTATTTGGATTTAATAAATATGTATAGTGAAAATGCTGAAGATTAAGGTACAAAAAATAAGGGTTAAAGTACAAACTGAAAATCGATTATTTTCAATAACTCCAAAAATATTTAACGAATCTTCATGAAATGTAATAAATTAACCATATTAGGTCAAAATAAGGTCCTTCGATTCATGATACCTACTGATAATTTGGTATATTGAACCGATTAACAACTTCTAAAATAACATTTTTTACTAGTTGCGACAATGCCAATATTATAAAAATTAAACGATCAAGCTATTGACTCAAGCTATATTGCCACGTATTTCGATAGCTTCAAGGAATTGATGATATATGCAATAATATTAAAACTGCCGTAAGAATTGAATGAAAACCGCCATGATCTCGACTCTACTACCTAACTGAAACTTTTCTCTCAGCACACAATCAAAAAAAAAGTACCAACTCACCTCTTCGGAAGTAACAGTTTGATATGTTTTACATGTCGTAAATTCCTGTTCGTCGGATTTCTTCCTGCATTTATCCGGACGACCCGTCGGAATAGGCGTTTCCTTGGCGTCCCCTTCGATGTCCGTCGGGCTCGCAGTATCTGTCGCAGGAGCCGTCCGTTTGTCACCGGTTTTTTTCTGCTCGTTTTGCCCCGTCAAATTCTTCTCCGCGCTAATTTCTGACGATCGCTTGTAATTGTTCACTCTCTGCTTATCGTCTTTGTTGTAGTTTTCGCGGAGTTTGTTGTTCAGATTGCAGCGAGGCTTCGAATTGTCCTCGGCGCGTTTGTGAGACAATTTAGGAATGTTGGTTTTCGAGTTTTGCTTGTCCGATAGAATAACGTCAGATTTCGCTTTCGATTGGTGCTTGAACGAATGTTTCGGCGAACTTGAACTGTCTTCTGCATTACGAACGTGACCGTTCAATTCCGGCTCTATTAGTACTTTAAACGGCGAGCCGGGGATGTCCATGTCTTTGAATTTAATCGAAAGAGTGTATTCACCAGGTTCCGTAGGTGTGTACTCTATCACGCAAGTACCGTCGTTGTTATCTTTACATATTATTCTTGATTCAGATGGACCTTCTATTTCGAGGGAAAGCCCACCCGTTCCGGCTTCTTTGGTAGCCACTGTGAACGTGTTCACTTTGTTTATCGAACCTTTCTGGAGTCCCTGTCCGAAGGCGTAGCATTTTTGGGCATCGTAAACTTTCCTAACGTTCACGATGAAAGGGGATCCCGATATGTCGTAGTTGTCGTAGTAAATGTGAATTTTATGCCTGCCTTCTTCGAACGGCGTGTAGCTGACTTTGAACGTTCCATCGGGAAGGGCCGTTATTAGATGCTCCTCTAGAGTACCGGATGGACTCGTTATGACGCAGGTTACTCTGCTGATATCGACGATCTTCTGGACTTGCCTCGTATCCACAAGGAAGTCCGTCGGGGCGTCCATAAACACACCTGAAAAGACACAAATTTTGTAGGAATTGCCAGTTAATTCAATGTAAAAGACATTCTTATGCTGAGGACTCTCTCATATTGAAGGAAATGATAATTTTGTTTAAAATACTGTAAATGTGTACATACAGGGTGTAACCAAAAAGGAGGGTTATAAATTTATACCACATTATTTACCTCTATCTAAAATGGCATGCAAAACTATTTATAGCTTGTTTAAAGTGTTAAATGAAAATTGATTTTTTTCTCTTTAACTTCAAAAGTATTCAATAAATCTTTGCGCAACTTCACACATATTATATTCTTACTAAGAAGAGGATGTTATGGGTTTTAATCCCAGAATATATGATACAATTTGAGACCCACATTTTTGTTACACCTTGTATAATTAACAGGATTTGTGTGGGAATATATTCCAATTAAAGCAAACTCTTTCGGATTGTGATGCAAAAAATTCGGCCGTGCTCCGGGCACGTCGAACGCTCGAAGAATCCCGAATCAGAAGTTAATTTACTGGCCGGTCTGTCTTTTATAACCCTAATCATCGCGATTAGGGCCCAGTATATTATTGCTTAAAAGCGGAATTAGGGTGTCCCCGTTACGTCGGGAGTGTTTCGATCGATAGCGAGTGCTGATAGCCGACGATATTTATTGCCCATCTTTCACTTTCTTATTAACTTATTAATTAACCATCTTGCACTTTCCTGAGCGGGGATCGAAACTTGGCGGAATTAACGCCTTTCGATGGTGGCGTGTGTCTTTAAAGGGTTTGCCGGATTTTTGGGCCGGCGGAATTTATTCGCTAATGAAACCGTTTAATAAATTACACGGTAATTCGTTTAATAAATTGAGTCGAGTTAATTAAGAATTTTAATGTTGTACTTGCGTATTAACGTAAATATGTATTAACAAAATTCTGGAAACTTATTAGCGTTTGTGTGAACTTAATCGTACGATTTAATATATCTTTTTTACAAAGTTAGCTGACTATAATGTACTTGTACTTCCACTAAAAAGTAATATAGAGGAATTGAAAAAGTTTAATGGGTTTTTAAAGTAGTATGACCTAATAGATACTACTAGAAAGTAAGTTTGTAAATTTTTTAAGTAATACATTTTAATATTTCTCACATTTTTTGGAATATTTTTTCGCATTCTCCTCTCGGAAAGTTCATGAATAAAAATGGAATTTTTTATATGTATTAAAACTTTCTATATCAAACTCCCGTTTTCTTTACGAAACACTAATATACTTTTCGAAATAAATTAAAGGAACAAATCTTCATAATACTAAATAATAGTATTACGAAATGACAAAAAACTTTGAATCAGAAAGAAAATCTTATTTTAACCATTAAATGTTTTAATTAATTAAACCTGTGATAATTAACGATGCATAATAATAACAACAAGACTCTTGAATGGGAATATTATTTTCGAAATATCAGCGAAGCGAGCGTGCAGCAGATGTTATTCCTTTAGAATTTAGTTTAGAGTCCTTTAGAGTCCTTTGGACATTTGCCGCGTATTGATCGCTCCTTTACCGCGTTATTCTGGATATAAAATGGAGGTTTTCCACCATGGAAACTGTTTTTCCATCTATTAACCGAAAGCTCAAACATTTACGTTACGAAATTTGAAAACTAACTCTTCAACTCGCTTGTATTTACAATTCAAACATACGGGACTCTAGAATCTATTAGATTTTTTAATTTTTGTAAAATATTTACAAACTTCTTTTACATACCTGTCAACATGATTGCAATTTAGCACCCTTTATTCAAGCAGACATATTGCACTGAAACGCTGGAAGGTACTTGCGCATTTTACTAATTAATATTGCTAAATTGTAATGGAGTTAGAATTTGCATTTCCGATAGCTGTACTGGAATGTCCGTCGAAACTCTTAAATCATTTTCGAAACGGGTCCTAACACATGTGTGCACTGTACTATCGATTTTATGTTAACTTCCGCATGTTAAAGACCGCTCATTAACATGTCGATGCGTTTCGAATCGAAATAAAAATTGTATCTAACGCAATGGCTGCAATGCCGATTATTTATGGAGGGAATGTTTCGGATTTTTGATTAATCGCTGTTATCTTCGACAAAAATTTTAGATACAAGGTAATACAAATATCCAAAAATGAATTTACATGGTAAGAATTATAAACTTACTGGCCTGAAGTCCATCTACTTTGACATTCTGTATGACGTCCTGAGATTCTACGTTAAATCTTATGGGGATTTCTTCACCGTCTAGGTGAAGAGATAATTTATGAATTCCAGAATGAGGAGTTAGATATTCCACAGTAAAAAATCGATCATCAGTATCGACTAATTTTAGAGGTATTTGCTCGAAAGTATCTTCGTTCGTTAAACGTAAGTTTAACTCCCCTATACTGGCTTTCCTGCAATTGAAATCCTGTTTTATTACCGTATTAGTTAACTCGCATGTAAAGCACTGATAAATGAATTATCTGCAAGATACCGTAGCTAATAAATTTGTACAGAATCTCCTTATTCAATTGACGTTAAGTATTCATTAGATTTATTGTAGGTTTACCTTGCGTCTATATAAAAAGTATTGCTTATATTCGATTTGACTCCGCTTTGAATTCCTGGTCCAAAACAACGTATTTTAGAATTGTCATGTAATTCATGGATAGAATGCTTGACAGAGGTTCCATTGTAATTAACATGAACTGTATCCGTCAATATCGGACTATAATTACCATCAGCATTACCCCTTTCTTCCCAGTGTATTTGCAAATTATCCGTAAAAGAATTACAAACCTTAAATAAACTCTTATTAATTGGTGTTAGAAAAAAAATGTAAATTTTATACGAACTTTAATATCTATAGGGGCTAATCCCGGCCCATCAGTTTCGACTGTAAACTTGGCAGTATTATTATTAACTTCTGCATTGTTATCTTGAATCGCAGCCTCGCAAACTTCTATTTGATCGCGGAAGTATTCGTAATAGGGTACAATTTTCGCGGCGAAAGGACTCCCAGGAATGTCTACACAGTCGCACAAAATGTGGATAATGTATTCGCCCGGAGCCGTCGGGTAATACCTACAAATAAATAGTTGGATAAGAGGGAAAACTTTTTAATGGTCCTTTAAAAATGTTGCATATAAAGCGTTAAAACTTTAATGTAGGAAGATTTTATGTATGAGTAGCAGTTTTGGATTTAAGGGGTTTTTAAGTAATTTTTTAAGTACCTAATAGTAGCGGATCCATCACCGTTATCGTGGCATTCGATGCGGGCTTGTGAAGGTCCTTCGATCCTGAAGCCTAAATCTCCAGTTTCCCCATTAGTTTCGACAGTAAATTGAGCAGGAAAATTTACCACGCCGCCATTCAAACCTTGACCGTGTGCAGAAATCAGGGTTTCTTTACTGGTGGATTCCACATTAACTTCGAAAGGCGAATTACTGATCTCCACACCGCCTTGTTTAATAATAACCACATACTTTCCCTGTTTACGCGGCTGGTAAATCACGCGGTAGACATTGTCATCAATTTTCTTCAAACTATAACTCTGCGATATCCCACTTGGGCCTATTATTTGCACGTCAAGGGAACCTTCACGAATGGTATTCCCTTTCAAGGTAAAATCCACTTCTTCGTTGACTTTAATGCCGTTTTTGTGTAAACCTCGACCGCTGGTTTTGAGTTTACTCGAAGAAGCACCGAGGGCGGCTATCACTTCGAAGGGGCTGTTTGGAATGGGTTTTCCAGCGAATAAAACGTTAATGGAATGTAAACCAATAAAAGGGGTAACGTAATCGCAACGCCAAATGCCGGGTGATATTTGATGTAGCTTTACTGGGATGGAGGTTTTGTTCTTCGCAGGATCTAGGATTGTTGCTTCTGGTACTCCTCGGCCGGCGTCTGCAATAATAAATAATTGAGTTTGTGATTGTCTTAAGGATATTCATTTTTTATAGTTTAGTTTTTTTCGTAGAGTCCCAATGGAATCGACAATGGAGATGCCAAAACTGCAGCCGAAACAGAACGAATCGATCATTCAGGAGCTCCGTCGTGCTGATACCAAACCCACCTACAGAATTTTTTATTGCTTCAAAAGTGGTTCGAATCAAATGATATATTTTTTGATGAATTTGGAAGCAAATCTTTGACCAATAGTCACAGCAGATTTTGGCAGTTTTTGTTAACCTTGAAAGTGAATCTTTCAGCTCATTCACGTAATGTTCGTGGATTTGAACTCCTCTTGGGATTGGTCGATTTTAAACGCCTTTATTTACCAAAGGAAAAACTTTTTCATGTTTTCGGCTGTAGTTTTGGCATCTCCATTGTCGGTTTCACACGGGCTCTCCCGGTGGGGGAAAGTATAAAAACTGTAGAATAATGGGTCAGGATGCCGTTGAAGTTGAAAATGTAAATAAAAACATTGATGTTACGTTTATAACTAATCATAAATAACAAAATTGGTAAATACAAACGCTGAAAAATATCGTTTATTTTCTATTTACCAGGAAAATTCCTTAGATTGCATTTTCCGAGCGACATTAATACTAAATAACTTATTCATAGTATCGTCGAATACAGAAAAAATAAGTGGAAAAATATTTTTGTACCTGAAATTTCAAAACTTTTAACTATCCCCAAAATGTTGTGAATATTGAAAATGCATTTTCAAAGCAAATAAGAAAAAAAGAAATGTAGAAAAAAAAATGGAAGAAGAAATGTAATTCAGAACATAAAAGATCCAGGAACTATTCCTAACGCTGACGATCAAATTCATTTTGAGTAACAGTTATTTGTAAAAGCGCCCTCCTCTATTACAATACAATTTTCCGTATCCTATGGCGGTTAGTAACAGGTATAAGAGGTGGCCGTTTAAAAATGTAACAGTTAATTAATAGATAGATATAATAATTAATTAATTAATGTATAAATTCTTACTTTTCGTGCAAATTTCAAAAAAAGTAGGTGCATTCGCCTCGACTCCTGTAAATTTCAATCCCGGTCCATAGGCCGTAACTTTCGAGGCGCTCCCCACATGGCCTTCAACGTTCACTTTATAAGGGCTATTTATCGTCGGCTTGCCGGCGACTTTGACGTGTATTGTGTGCGAACCTTCGTACTTGGGGGTGTAAGAGACAGTGTACGTTGAGTTACGATCGTCATTGTATTTTACGTCTACGTGTTCTTTCTCTCCTTTAGGGTTTTTCACGACGACTTCGACGTCGCTCGAATTCTTGGTGAACGTTTCGACGGTGAAGACGGCAGGTGCTCCTGCTATCAGGCCTGTAGGTTCGATTCCGGCACCATATACTAGAACCCTTAATTGCATTTCGTCAATAACTGTTATCTAATTATCTTATGTTTTGTAAATTTTTCTTTGTTATTCATTGCAACTAATAAAAATGGCGAAAATTGTACTATCAGCGAGTTTACATCAAATTAATCAAGTTTCAATATAAATTATCGGTTAAGTATTTCCCAATAACTTGATAACAGTAATCTATATGTTTGATGTTTTATTAATTAATTATATTACGCGATATCTACACCAATTGTATATTATCTATGTGTATAAAAAAATAGATATCTTACTTTTTGGATCTCAGATTCATCCTTATATCGGAATATTATTCCATCATACGCGCACGTACGGTTCGCACGTTGTAATTAACCAAAAAAAAACTCACATAATTAATATTTATCTAGCAGATTATATTGTTCATTTTGTTACTAAATTACCGTACATTTCGTCTAACTAACACCACCGTCTTTACAGCACAGTGACTGCATGTTAGAGAGTTATTTCAAGCCAAACGTCTCTCGTTCCTCTAAGTGACGATAAAAATAGAATAGTGTATTTTTTGAACGGTATAATCGGATGTTGTCAATAATCGAGCGAATACTCATCATTACGATTACCCGCGAATAATCGATTAATTGTATATGTACACCTGAATTTTAATTTAACTGACATTTTTAATTACCTACCCCTGTTTGTAACTTTTAAGTCTGTAAGTCTTTGAACTTTATGTATTTTAAAAATAAACCAATAGAAAATTTAACAACAAAACACAATTAATTTATTAACAATTCAACAATTCAACAATAAAATAAATAAGAAAATTATGACGATGGAATATACAGGTAATGCCAGTACTTGCTGAAGCATTTGAATAATTTCAAATGAACAGTATCTTTGGAATCATGTATGTGCTCTTGTACACATTTCGTTCCAATGTTGTCGATTTCATTATCAGGATAACCGAAAAGTTTAAGGTCTTCTTTGATCATCGACACATCCAATTTTCCGTCCTCATTCATCATTTTGCTCTTCTTGGCGAAGCACAATATGTGATTAGTTAGAGGAGTGCTGAGTTCCGGCGTATCAGAGCGCAATTCGATCAGGAATTGGGTAATGTTCATAGCCGTTGATGGATTAGCTTGGCACTCGTTTTCTACCTTTTGGAGCTGCTTGCCGCGATTCCACAGTTCCTTGGCAAGGTTTGTGTACTTGAAGAGGCATCGGTAGAGGTTTAAGGCGGTTTTTACGTTAGTGTCCGCTGTGGAATTCTTCGTGCAATAATCGGAGACGGCGACCATGTTCACGATATCGTTGTGAAACGTTTTTCGAATGTTATTGATGACTTCATCTTTCACGATTTCACCGTTTTCTTTCATGATGTTTAGTTTTTTGTACATGCAGAAGATGTGACCGGCCATGTTGGGATGGTCAGCGTATTCTCCTCCTAGAACTTTGTATAATACATCGTCGGGTAACTTGCTGTCTGGATGAGATTGGCATTCTTGAATTTGGTCTTGTAGTAGCTCCTTTGACGCCTAAAAATGAGTACAAAGTATTTATTAAAATGATTTAAACGATTTAAATTTATACATACGCAGATCTGCAAACTCACCAAGGAAAAGGTGAGAGTTAGGATTGTTGTGAGATTCATGTTTTCTTGTATATTGTAAACGATTTTACGATATCCTTAGCTTTATATTGCAGATTGAACTTTATTACCCGATTGAATTGTGCAACTATTTCTGATAACAAAATATGCATATGTTTACATAATATTTGTTTCTAGTTTAGTAGTGATTTTATCACAAGGTCTTGAGGTTAAGCGTATTTTTCTTTCTAATAGCAAATAAACAAATTATGTTGAACTGTAGAAGAAATTTTTCCACGACATTTTAGAAAAGATGTTGCTAGTTCTGCGCGAAAATGATTTAAATAATAAATAGACAGTTGTATTGATAAATATTTATTTTATTTTACACCACACTTTGTCACATAAAACTGTTAACATTATATTTTGGTATACTTTTAACTATAAATAATTGGCTGTGGAGGAATTCTCTCGGTAAACTCGCTTCCAAAATTCGACTTTTTCACGTTTGGGATTAATTTTTAGTTCTGATTTTTTATCGATATCAACATAGTAAGTAACATCTCTTTCCACAGGTTTCCAATCAACAGTTCCATAGTCCGTTTCTAAAGTAGGCTTCCCGTATTTCGCGAAACTAGTCCACAATTTCACGATTCGCCTGACGTATTTATCTGCCTCTGATCCTTTTCTCGGCAGCGGAAGCGTTGTTTTGAACAGGTAACCGGTATCATCTAAGTGACTGCAGCCTAAAATAGCAAATTTGTTGAGCCATAAGTGGTATTTTCTTTGGCAAATTTTACCTCGATCCTTAATATTTTTTTTAACTTTTACGTAATTTCGTTCTGTGTCGAGGGAAAATTGGTATAAGTATACGGGTTGGTTGGATGTTTTGGCATGATTAATCGCAGCTCCTATCACCCCCATAGAAAAGAAGGCGTCTGATGCTAGCTAAATTAAAAATAGGGGCAATAAAATATTAATAAAATATATGCACTAACAAACCTCTAATGAACCCCTTTCATTTTCTTCATAGTGCTCCTTTAATTTAGGCAGATAATTTTGGACCAAATTATCGGTTTCATCTATTTTCAACGATTTGGAAAATATCATTTCGTGATTGTAATATTTCAATTCTTCAGGAAACAGAGCTTTGATAAAAAGCATTTCAAACGAACAATATCCCATCATCATCGGAACTTTATTGTACTCTCCGGATGTTATGTATTCGATTGGTTCCTTCGTAATACAAGCAGTGGGGCTTTCTTTTTCAATCATAGGCGAATATGATCCACCAAACGCCTATAATATATCGATTTATCTCGTATCCCAATAAGACTATTTTTATTAGAGAAGAGGGGAAATAAAGAAAAAATCTTAAGGACGCCTAATATTATTACTTACATCGGTATTATTGACTTGCATATGCAACAATTCCCTTAAGCTTAAACTCCTCAAGTAATCAAGAGCTTCTTTTTCGCTTACATTTTTCTTGTTTGCTGCTGCTAATATTTTGGGAAGGAACTTGGGACCGACTGCCCAATTATTAATGGCGGAACCGCTTTGGAGGATTGCTCGATGAAAAAGACCTTTAGCAAGCGGCGATAGAACCAAAAAGTGCACAGATGCAGCCCCAGCACTTTCTCCAAAAATTGTAACATTTTTTGGATCACCTCCGAAGTTCCTGATATTCCTTTGGATCCATTTCAAAGCTTCGATTTGGTCCTTTAACCCAGCGTTTCCAGGAACTTCTAGGGATGGGTCATCTAATTTTAGTGAACCTAGAGATATTTAAAATCTTCTAAAGTACAAATTTTAGAAAATGTATTTCTAATTTGTCTTGGATAGTAAATGGTATGTTAATGGTTAATGGTTAATGGTTAATGGTTAATGGTTAATGGTTAATGGTTAATGGTTAATGGTTAATGGTTAATGGTTAATGGTTAATGGTTAATGGTTAATGGTTAATGGTTAATGGTTAATGGTTAATGGTTAATGGTTAATGGTTAATGGTTAATGGTTAATGGTTAATGGTTAATGGTTAATGGTTAATGGTTGAATTGCAACACAATACCTAAAATTCCTAATCGGTAATTAATGCAAACTAGTACAATATCTTCTAACATAAGGAATTCTGGTCCATGAACGTCTGTGTTGTTTCTTCCCTCTCTAAAACCTCCACCGTGAATCCATACCATAACAGGATTCAATTTGGACTCTTGGGAATTGAGCTAAAATTTTTTGTGTTACTATAAGGTGTAATATTATTATTTTGAAGCCAACCTTTTTGGTAAATAAATTTAGGTGAAGACCATCTTCACCGCCAAAAACAAGATTTGTCATAGTAATTAATGTGTCCTTTTGGATAAATGGTTCACCTTCTTTAGTGGCATCTTTGATACCCGACCACTTTTGAAGAGGTCGGGGGTCCTATGAAAATTAAAAAAAATATGAGTAGAAGGTAAAATAAATTAAACTATTCTACAAATAGCAACAATATTTCTTATTTAATTGCATATTTTAGTATTAATTATCCAATAGCTAATTTGTTCTTTGCTCTAACTTTTGCTCGAAATAAAGAATTATTATAATATTTTCAATATAATTGCAGTGACTCCTCCAGCGCCCTGCAGTAAATTAATAACTAAATCGAAAGCACTTACTTTAAATCGAAGATTTCCTACAGGTGGTTGGGCATAAGGAACTCCCAGGAAACAGAAGAATTTCTCGCCATCTAAATTTTCCTTTATGCATCCTTGCAGTTGACCTTCGACTGTTTGAACTATTATTTTATTCGTTGTCGGCATCATTTAATTTTTATGCAATATTATACACTCACTAAGTTCGTTCATTTCGTTTAGAACCGCGAATGGTTCTCGTTTAAACATGTAAAATTCCAGCGTTTATATATCAAACAGGTTAGTCGCATTTAGAGAAAATTACATTATACTACACGTAGAAATAACAATAATTGTTAATAATTTTTAACTAAAAGGCGTGCAATTAGTATATACTTATACTATACGTTCTATGGTTGATCGTTCCTTTTAGAAACTCTTTTTTTTAACTAATTATTCGTTTAGCAAAATTACTGTTATCTCAATTAAAAATCCACTTACTATCATGTGTTCTATTTTCATGTTCTATTTTTTTGAGTTGTTTGTTGTGTAATTTCATGAAATATTGTAGATATTTAATCAATAACATTTATTTTTATAAATAGCATTTTAGTTTAACTATTATAATATTCCAAACTTGTTTATTTTTGAATTACTTGCAAATTATTTCGTGTTATAAATTAATAGTAGAGGTAATAACTATTTACCTCAAATTGCTAGTACTAAAACCCTAAAAACTTTTCAAACGGTTGCACAAGGCACGTTTGAAAACCGCATGTTCTACTCTCAGTCACCCTGTATATAGTATTAACAATAATTTTCAATTTTGTAATTGCTTATATTTTTAATTTATAAATTCTAATTAAGTATGCATTAACTTTAGCAAAAACTCTTGAAAACAGAAAGAAACTGATTGAGGTAAATTTTAATTATTTTATTTTCTCTTAAATGTTGCTACTTTATTGATTAAAATTTGTATCAAAATAATCGTATGGTAAACATAAAGATCAAGATGGTGAAGGATCTATCGAAATAGCAAAATTTTACGAAATAAATCAATATCTACTTTTTTTGGTTTCTGTAGGTATTTTTTCTAACAAAGAAGCATAATTACCTGGCGATTAGATATTACCCGAATACTTATAACATCTAATAATATATTTAGTCGCATGCGATATTATTTATCCTTGGACTAAAATTTTGTCAGGAACAATGTTTGTGTATTACCATTTAGGATATATTTAACAATACATATACAGTGTGTTTTTGAAAGAGTTGAGAGATAAATATCGATAATTTAAATTTTGGGAAGACAAGCCATTCTTTACAAAAAGTCGTGCTTTTTGCATAAATAAGTTTGTCGTATTTAAATCTGAAATTTGATTCACAGAGTGTCGATGAAGTAAAGTAAAAATTAAAGAGATAAGGTATACCATTAGATATTATGCAATTTCAAAGCAAAAGTTTTTAAAATACAATATAAATCTTCCGCATAATAAGGAATAATTAAACAGCGTATAGAATAAGCAACAAATGTAATGAATGAATGGATCAATTAGTAAAGGTTTATTGAGAAATAACTACTTATTAGATTTATTGAGAAAGTAGAATATTGGAAAATATGGAAAAAAATAATAAATAATATTTCATGTTTTCCTAATTTATTATATAAGGTACATACTATACATAAGATACATTAAAATGTACATGAGATTCCAGATTTTAGTACGAAAACTTATTTTTTTGACAAGCGGAACTGCTTTTAAAGAATGATATTCTTAGTAAAATTAAAAATAAAGATTTTTTCCTCTGCCGAACTCTATCCAGAGATATTATTTGAATTATTTATGAAATATTTTATTTTTTGCTCTATAAGGTATTTTCTTATTTGTTTAATAAACAAAAACAATTTATGAATCTTTAAAAATAGCTATATTTAAAAAATTTAAAACACGTTTTAAAAATGTATGTGACAACAAAAAGCGCTTAAAAAACATACACATTTATTTATATTAAAAAAAAATTGCACATTTAGTGGACGGATACGATAAAGGACAGACAAGTAATATTATTGTCTTGTGAACTAGACATTTAACAATAACAAATAAACTACCTTACACTTATATATTTAACTAATAACAAAAACAAATTGGTGCACTAAAAGTGACCTGTAACCTTATCTAATTTTTATATCACAAAATAAAACTATCATCAGTACTTATACTAATATCATAGTGTAATGCTAATCTTAATTCGAATAATTAAATTGGAATGTACGGTATGGAAAATATCTATTTAGTAGTTTTTCTTAGAAATAAATTGAATTTGTTGTATTACTTTAAAATCCAATCCAATGTTTGCTTACATATGTATGTTGGTACTAATTTTTATTCAATCTGATATTTCTATACGAAAGCTATTTATGAAACATGCAGGTATACAAAATAATTCATTTATAATTCATATATTTAAAATATGTAAATTTTATGAAAATAACTATACTTCAATTCTATATACTTATCTAATAAAATATGTGATTAATAATAATACAGATTTGGGCATCACCCACACTCGCATCAATAGCTGTCTATAAGGGCATTTCTATCATGAATAATATTCATTTGAAGAAAATTTATATAAATATTAAAATAATCTTAAAACTAGTATACATATGTTTGTTAGTAGATAACGTTAATGAATATTTAAAACTTTATTTATAATTTGGAAGAATTGATTTTTTTTTACTTCAAATGTTTCTGTATACGATAATAAATGTGAAGAATAATAAAATACATATTTGGATATTACACACATTTGCAATAGCTGTCTACAAGGGCCTTTCTATCATGAATAATATTCATTTGCAGAAAATTTAAATAAATATTGAAATAATCCTAAAACTAGTACATGTTTGTTAGTAGATAACATTAATAATTATTCAAAATTTCAGGGTCTACTTACAATTTGGAAGAATTGGATTTTTTATACTACATAAATATATTTAAAATACTTTTAAAACTTTATTGGATTATTAAGATTCCTTATATTATTGCATATTATTGCTATTTATTTAAAACTAAATATTAAAGTACGATTTGCCATTTGCCACATTTACCTACACTTTAAGTAATTTAAATACGATTTTTTCCTTGAGCCGTTCAGTAGATATGTTTAATTTATTATGTACAAACTGCATGATTACTCGTATATCGCTAATATACTATACGAAAAATAAAATTAAGTACACTTATTTAAAAATTTTATGAGTTAAAGATATAAATTAATTGAAGCAAATAATTACCACTTTGCTATAAAATATTTAAGTAACTATGCCAATGGAATTAATAATAAATCCACGATTGTGTTACATATTTTCGTGTCACGGTGAATATTTCAATATTCTTATAAAAATACGATTTATCATACTAAAAATAATTCAGCTTAAAAGCATGTTTGAATTTTTTTAAATAATAACTAGTAGGTATGTATTATTTAAAATAAATCAGGTAAGGATTCTATTAAATAATTTTCAGATTCGGATTTTAAAAACGAATTTGATTCGCTTCGATTCGATAAAGCTACTCATCAGAATTGATTCATATCAAATTGATCCACCAAAAAATTAGTTCATAACAAATTTCGGAGCATATTTTGTACCGAGCAACAAAATACCGAAATCTACCGTGAAGCTGTTAAAGCTGGATTATCGTAAGCATAGTCCAAAGTACTATCTTCTGCCGGACGTCTACTGATTGACGTCGTAACTGTCACAGGACTGTGCTCAGAATGAGACATATTCGACGATGGCATATCTAACTTCAGATCTCCTTTTCTCACATCCAGTTCCGAAACGTTGTTCGGCCTTTGTGATTCATCAGTCTAAAAAATATTGAAATTTATTATCCATTTGCAATGGACAATATGTAAGCGTACGGTACTGAGTATGTATAGAAGATGTATGTATGGATAAGTTCAAACTTGTTTGCAATATGGTCTATGGGTGCAACAAAGACAACTTCTATTATTAGTCTCATATGAACGAAAAGGAAAGATTAATATTGTTGGATTACACTTTGTTACTTTAACGAATGTTCTTTCTTTTAATAAAATCTTTTTTACACATAGACAATATGTAAACATGTTGACAATGTATAGGCGACGTATAGACAAAGCACAAATAATGCACCAATAATACATTGACATTGTATAAGTGTATTGACAATGTATAAGTGATGTATAGTATAGACAATGCATAGATAATGTGTGAATAATGTATATGTGATTGCTTACTCTTTTTCCAAAGATTTTTTGCTTCAACGAAGCTAACGTGATGTTCTTTTTGTCCTTCCATCTGTAAAATTGGAAACACAAGAAGCATATCAAGACTAACAGCATTAGAATTGTCAGGGATAAACTAACGGAGACCAATTGGGATAATTTATCCACACGACCTGAAAGTAATTAATTGATTTAGAATAATATTCGATAAGTTCTTTAGGTATACATACTTTTGAGGTCGTTGCTTCCTGATGATCCTCCCCCATTTTTGCTGACGTATCTGATGTCGTGAAGATAGGCTGGAAAATATCGCTATTTTACAATTTTACTCAAAAATTAAATATAAAACAAATCGCTATAAAGAGAATAAATTGGATTTGACATTACCAAAATTAATCAGTTTTTGTGATCAAGGGAACTCGTTCATAAAACGTATGTTTACATATTGTTATTTGAGTTTGTCATAGGTAAACAGGCGATAAGATCTATCTGCACCTACATACTCTACATAATTTTGAACACGTGAAGATGCCAAAACAATTTTTATCGACTTGCAAAACATCAGGTGCTATTGTTATCATCCGAAGACAATGCAATACTAAATCAAAAAGTGCATTGATATCATTTAATTTATTAATTCAGGTTGTTATGTCTTATTTCGTATTTATGTTTACTTAACAATCGATAAATAATAGATAGAGAGCAAATTCTATACATAAGTAAGAGTACCTACTATGATTGCACTAAATATTGCACATACCTATTCATTAACAATGTGGCTTAAATTTTCCACCGATTAAAATTTAATTATTAAAACACTTGATAAATGTGCTAATAAAACCAATATTTAACCTACGCATCCGCTGGGACATATTCATCAGTTTTACGTTTGACGGTGTAGTATTTTTGTTACATTACCGCAAATTTTACAATTAATAACCATTCTATTTTTCGAAATTGTACTTGAATGAAATATGTATGAACGTTGATAAGCGCAAAATGCAAATGAGTCTGATAATCAGTGCGAATACAAATCGACATAAAAATATTACGACACACAATTATCCAAAAACCCGAAACATTGCTAACCTCAACATTATTCACACGAATTCAAGTACGTGGTATTTTTCAAATCGCGTGCATTAAAGGATAAAAAATACATACAGGATGATTTTCATTACACCGAGAGAAAGTTGAATATAATTGAAATGTGGTGTAATTAGTGTGTATTAAAACATAATCTCTTGAAACATTCCACTCAAACAATGTAATGAATGGAAAATAATTGTAGATTGACAACATTAATTGATGTTATTATACGGAATAATTCCTACTGAAGCGTAAAATATGAAATTTGTTCGATTATTTTAGGCAGAAGATGGAAGGTTTAAAATTAATTAAACCACAGTTGCTGCAAAACAAATATCAATGCACATATTGCACATTGCAAACCAAAAAGTGAGGTTAGTTGATCGTTTTCGCTCTAATTCTTTATTTTAACGATTGTGACATTTTCGATTGTTAATCATTCGATTCGATAAGTGACAGAATTCGATTTTAGTACGTTTAAATTATAAAAAGAATGCCTAAAATCAACTTTACATTAGGATTTTTGTCATATTTGCTTTTATTATTTGTTCTAGAGAATACTCTGTTATTATACAAGTATTAATTATTTCGAATCTACATATTACCGATTTAATTCTTATAATCGATTAATCGATATAATTTTGGTACCGCGGAAAGCAGGGAAACAAAAACAAAATGCAGGCATCTGCATTTATGTCTTTTTCTAAACTGACCAATCAGAAAACTATTCGCAATTCGCAATTCGTAATTCGCAAGTATATGGAATGCCCTTTAAGCAATGATATATACAGCACCGTAAAGTGTTATAAGAACCAAGAACCAATCAGAACGTGCCACGTTGGCTGTGGGCTCGTGTACAATAGCTAAATAGTACAATAGCTTAGCAGATCATCCCAAAAAATTAAGAAAAAAAATATGTGAAAATATTACCATCAAGCAATTGATAAAGCTGTAACTATCTCAGATACATCTCAGACATATCACTATTCACCAATATATATGTTACCAAGCTTTCAATTTTTTTAAATGTCTCGGAGACATTTCAGAAATTTCTGAGATATTGTGATCAATATGTGATCTGATTGAGATGGTACTGAGAGATTTGATGCTGTGTGATATCACCTATGATTTACTACGTTACAAGTAGGCAGTGTTGCCGAACTTTTGTAGAGTTTACAAATTCTAAGAAATTTCTAAAATTGTCAAATGGCAAAATGACAAGAACAAATTGAAAATTGGGCTCACTATAATTAATCATCAATTTCTTTTATCATCTGAAACACAATATGTATTTAAAAGAGTACATAGTGAAATTTCTGAGAAAACTTCCGAATCTGAATTATTTAGAGCTTAAATTGTCTGTACTATAAGAAAATAATAATAATATTATACAATAATTATATACGAGCGTTAAATTTTGACAATATATTTTTTGGATGATTCAATTCTGCTCAATTTCTATCATCCCTTGTTAATATTAAATTTAATTCTGCAAGTATTAAGCTTAATCTATTTTGTGTATTTATTTTTAAAAGTTCGGCACAATGTTTGGCAGGTATGACGACAGTAGTGACGTGCATTGATATTTATTTTGTACCAACTGTATATAACAATTATAATAATAATAAAAAGCTTTGGAAAAATGTTTGTAATAGTATTTCAGGCATTCAATTAATTATTATGAATGTTGATATTATACAACATTAAATTTGATTCGAGTTAAATAAATGCCTACTTGCTTTACAGCAGAAGGTAATGAGAACATAAATATTGGATTCCTTATGTAATTAATTAGATCCCTTAGATAAGATAAAAATTATATTAGTAGAATATCAATTACTAATAATATCAATGAACTCATTACGTTACACTGAAGATGAAAGGAAATCGTTAAGTAGATGTTTTAATTAAATCAATGTCGTATAGCGCCATCTTTAAATACTTCTTACTCTTTTAGGACTCATTTAATTAAAACTACCACAACCTATTCCTTAAAAAGATGTTTCATCTGTTAGTACTTCTTTTATTAACAAAAATATTACATCCTGTTGCACCAGTACAACTTTTAATAGCGCCAGAAGCAATTTAGCAATATCAAATTCGACCTACATTTAGTTCCTAAGTACTTACTTTGACAGGACTTTTCGCATGTACTTTTACTGAAATTGATCCCTGTAGGGTCGCAAATTACTGCGCAGGATTCGCACGTCGTCCCGAAGTCTGAGCAGTACTGATCAAGGGAGCAGTTCCTGACGCCGCACTTGACACTCAAACTCGCACTTAAACCGTCACTTTTCACCAAAGGATACAGCAAAACGACAAACAGGTACGTACACAACATATTTCGATCGTGATGTATGAAATTTCGTGATGTTTCGCTATGAAGAAAGCGCCTTTCGCACAATTCGATGATCACATATTAGTGCTAGTGGATAGGTGTAACCCACGCAACAGGTGTAGCGTTGTATAGAACGTTTCTTTCTCTGACTATCTGACTTTGCTACGTTTACCTGGATGAGTCACGGTGGAAAGTACGCGATTCGGTACCGTAATTTCGGTGGGTTTACAGGTGGTTTTCGTTTGGTGCGCTGCTGAAGGTATTTCTATAGTGGGGTACCAGTGTGGGATATTATCAACTGCACTAAGCATTTGTGTGAAGATCTATGTATGTATATTATTAATCATAGAATAAATAAAGTGTAATATTAAAATAATATACTAGTAAGATAAAAATGTTTTAATAAATTTAGGGTGCGAATTGTAATAGTTTTATTGACTTCATTTTAGTAGAACTTTCTTTTTTTAGTACTATTTTTATAAAAAAAAAATATGAAATGTGTGCAGTTGGTACTTCACCTCATCAAACAGTACCCAATACCTGTAGTTTAAACACATTATGCGACACAGCATTGAGTAACCTTCGATAATTAAATCTTAATTCGTATTTATTATTGGTTTCTAAATGGTTCCTTTGCGGTACTTAGGAAGTACGTTATTAATTCGAAATTACTGAGGTATTAGTCACGAAGATATTTTCGGAAGATTAACGAAAACAATCAATCGATTTAATTTTATCTGCTAATGTAAATTGCGTTTAAAAATTAATCATTTCGCATTTAGTACCTAATTGCCTGTAATTAAGGTCGAAAAAAAAACTAGTACGAATTACAACGCCATATTTTATTGTGCATACAATGATACAGGTATATACATACATTTTTTGAACATACTTTTGGAAAGATTTATTGGACAGAATTCAACAACGAATATTTTTTAAAACAACTCCTTAGAAAATATAAATAAACTCAGTGTATTGAAAACTGTTTTGCCGATTCGAATTTTTTATTGCATTTATATATCGATGGGTGGGATGAGAAAGAAAAATTCACGCGATGAGAAAGGGTTTTTCCCATTCAACTATCATAATAACTTCTTAGTATTTATTAGTAGATGGATATGTATTGTTACTCTGTATTTTTAGTGTATCCCCCAATAGGCACTTGGTTATGGAGAATATTATTAATTTAATGCAAAAAATATCAGTTTTAACAAAGAAAATATACGAATAATAAGGTATAATTGAATGAATATTTTTTGTTTTCTTCGTTACACTAAGAAAACTTTTTGTTGTAAATGAATAAATTATTTAACTCTTTGTAAAATGTTATTGAATTTTTATTCTCATCCTTTTTATTAATTTTATAGATTGTCAGCTATGTTGCCAGTATTGCGATATTTTCCGTAAAACACAAAACAATACAATTGCAATAAACACACATTCGATGAACACACTGTGTTTATGACAGTCATAAATTTCTATATCATTTATTTCTGGAAAAAAATATAGTAAAGTTTGAGCTACCTTTATTGACATGATTAAAACTTTGTAATACCGATACAAAATGAGCACGTTTCGTTTGAATGTTGAGGATTTATTACAGTATACTAGAGAAATCAAAGCGGTTGCAAGCAAATTTCGAAATGAACTTTATTTTTGAATTCCACTCATTTTTATTTTTCGATCAGGGAACGTAATATCTGATCTTAAAGCTAATTTGTGATTAATCTACGGGATAGAAAGGGTCACAGCCGCATTGATTCATTAGGTGGAATTTTAATTTTGCATATCAGGTACAGGTACGGAACGAATTGCCTGGTTTGTTTTAATAACGTTTCTTGTCTGTTGAAATTCTGTTGGTAATTTTTTATTCTAACGGTTGGCAGTAAGAGGAGGTAGGAAGCATAATTTTAACGAAATAATCATTGTTATTAAAACAACCTGTAGCAGGGATCAAATGCCTTTCCACAACTCTGAGTCGAAAAACTTGATTACTTCCTTAATTGAACGTTGATTGTTGTTTTTCGCAGATTATGGGCGATTTTTTCATAGTTTTTAGCAACATTTAACACTTATTTGGCGAGTAGAAGAAGAAAGAGATTCCAACAACCCACGTTCAATAAAATTTTAGGTATATTACTTTTATTGTGGGTCTAAACATTAAACACAAAAAGACGAAAATTAGAATATTTTTTTGCTAGAACTGTGGAAGGAAAAACAACACATGTGTTTGTTCTGATTACATTCCATATACAGACATTTATTGCAGGTTACACGTCCCCATTCTAATTCAACGCAATGGCGATGTATAGGGGTTAAAACGGATTTTCTTTTTTTTGGCAAAATCTAACCGTAAAACTTGAAACACTTAAAAAAATCTCAGTTGACGATCATTATGAAAATATAACGATCGCCAAGACCATGTATAATATATATGCATTTAGTTTTTTTTAGCCTATTTACAAATATACATACGCTTAACTAAATATGTCACGTGACACTTTATCTAAAACTTGGCACAACATTTTGGTTTAGGGTTTTTCAATTAGTGTAAAGTGAAAAATGCGATTTCTCATAATTATCGTTGTAACGTAAAACGTTATTTTTAAACAATCGGTAGGTAATGCTAAGAATTTTCCAAGTTCACGTGCATTCGTAAAAAATTGTTTCTAATTATAATTAATGATAATAAAAATGAGATAAGGCTTCAATTGAATATTAACTGATAAGCTAATATGAAATGACTCACTATTTCATTATTAACAGGAAGTTGCGAAAATAATCGAAAACGAAAAGGATGAAACTTCGAAGAAAAAACCCTTGAAAATTCTCAACATTTTATTTTCTCCAACTTAACAGATCGTGTTTGTTAGGATAGTTTTCTAAAACGTCGTAGATTGGCAATAGAAGAAAATACTCCGTCAAATAATATTGCATTATTTTCATTTTTTTGTAGAAAACAATCAAATACACATAAAACATCTAATAATTACATTATATATCACTAGAAATATCAAAACATTTAGTGTCAAGTTACATATCAAATAACAAAAACAGAGATGAATGAAAACTAATGGAACCGACAGACATTTTTCCATTACACAAAATAATTGTATTGCGAAAATTCTTTATATTATAACTTGAACTTACCCTTAAATTAATAAAATAAATTTTAGGCTAGTCTAAACTAGACTAGACGCTCTAGGTAATAGACTGGAGATTCCAGTGATTAGACCAGAGGCTCCAGATAATAGACTAGAGCTCTAGAGATTAGGCTAGAGGCTCTAGACTAGATTGTCTAGATAATAGACTAGCGGCTTTAGATATAATAGACTAGAGATTCTAGAGACTGAACTCGGGGCTCTAGATAATATACTAGAGACTGTAGAGATTAGGGTAAAGGCTCTGGATAAAAGAATAGTGACTCTAGTGTTTAAACAGAATGATAAAAAAATGTCAGTCAGTTCAGAAGAGGTACATTCAATATAACAACAATTAATTGATAGATCTGAGCACCTGATACTTAGACTACCAAAATTCTGGCCCAGTCTGAGCGATCCGCCCGCAATTCGGATCGGACCGAATTCGTATAAATACTTAACCTACACATTCTAACACCATATAAAGAGCCCGAGAAAAACATACAGCTTGTTCGAAAAACATTTAACAGTGATATTTCTAAGATAAGCGCTTAACCTAGATAATTTTTAATGTCTCCAAGGACATTTGAAGTACACAAAATAACGTGGATTGTCATTTTTTTCTTTTCTTTTTTTTTCGAAATGGAAAAACCGCGGTGCGTTCCGAATCGCTGCGGACCTCTAAAAAATTTAAATCTAATATCATACATTCAGTAACATGTACAAATATCAATTTATTATATATCAAGTAATAATAATATAGATAGATTCATAGTAATAGACTTTTAAAAAGATCACAACACAGAGTTAATGGCGCCTACGGGGCGCTTTGAGCGCCTTCGGCGCCGGTTATTTTGAGTTTTTAAAAAAATTTACAAAACCTCAGACTTGTCTCGGATTTTCTTTTTATGGCACATTTTATTCGTACTAAACTACTAGAAACTTACAGGGTTATTCAAAATTCTTAACAAACTTTCGAAAAACGTCTCCGAAATGATCAATAGGATCGTGTATGAGTATTGTCATTTTTCTTATTATATTATTTATTAGGAAAATATTAGAAAAAAAAAACTTGCTTTTGCTACATAATTAAATGATTTGTAGCCTTTCTAAAGTCAATTTGCTCTTATAACTCAAAAACGAGGTATGACAGAAATTAAGCATTTTCTAAAGAAAAATCTTAAGATTTTATTCAATTATTAAAGATTTCTAGTTATTTGATTTTTTGAAAAATTGACTCACAAATTTAACCTAATTTTTAAAATAATTCGATTATCCTTAAATAAATAATAGTATACTTTGGAAGGACCAAAAATAAGAATGTTTATTAAGCAATTTTAAAAACCTGTATAGATAATACATATAATTTGACTAATATTAGTATATAAATTCACCTAAATACTAACTAAAATCATTGTTAATAAGAAAATAACAGACACACTCAACGATTTTTTGAGCAAATCCACTAGAAATAGGTCATCGTTTGTTGCAAGTAAAATGGGAGACAAGTGCGAGGCCTTCACATTTATTCTTCGAAGTTATATAATACGTATCTTCATTACAATATACTATTTATGGCCGTTAGTTTTCTTTGATATTTGATTAACGTTTTTGAGTTCAGATCTAGTGCTCAAAAATGTTCGAAATGATATTATTTGAAAAGAACACGGAAATTATTGTCGCTCGACAAATATCAGTAACACTACTAAATATTATCGATTTCAAATTATTTAGAAAAATATAAATTACAACAATAACGTATTGGAATAATAGGAATTATAGTATGCTCCATATTAATACAGCGGTGACGTCGAGCGAGACATTTTTTAAATCATTCGATATATTCAGTGCATGACGTCATCGCCACATTTACATGAACATACTATGCTTGGAATTTACTTTAATAAGATCAACATAAAACAAGAAACATAGATAACTAAAAACAATAACAAGTTTCTACATTAATTATCTACATGCCCTAATGAACTAAATTTTAATTTATACATTTATTTAACATTCAACTTTAATTAGGTAGCTAATTATCTAAAATTAACGTCTGTTTAGCTCTCCCCCTGACTTTCGCTAAAGTTGATAAAAAATATGGAATTATGCGCTCGCTATTTCTGAAGGTATAATAAAATGTAGAACATAATTTATGTATAAAAAAACTATATTTTTTTGGTACAGTCCAATTTACTGTTACTTTTGCTATTGTTTAATGTTGCTAATTAATATGTTTTTTGGATTATAAAACAAAGTAGGTAACATTCAAGTGGTACATTCGAAAATTGGCATAATTACATATATTTTTCACTTTAGAGAATGTGGCAGTTTAATAGACGTCTAAAATTACATTATCTAATGATGAGTGACAATGTTTTTCGTGTCCTTTGTATTTTGAGCGTATTTTCTATATACCAGATTTAATGGCGTGATGTTAATGATGAATGGCAATGATTCTTTTTTTTTAATAGTGTCTCACTCGACATTCGAAAAGGCACTAACGTTACTAAACGTAACGCAACACAACCCCTATTTTATAATATTAAATATAAATCTCTGTAATATGTGGTTTTGTAATTTGTACACTACTAATTCTATCTATAATTCTTTTACCTATCGCTTCTTTTTTTCTCCTAAAAATTTCTGAATAACAAATATCTATTTATCTCATTTTCCAAAAAACGATGCGAGTTGCTCTTGTAATGTTTCGGTTTGTTCGATCTGACTCTTATTATTTGTTTGTTTTGATTGCCCTTTACCTGTTTTTGATTATTTTAATTTTTGTTTATTTTTAAAAATTAGTTAATATTTATAATATATAAATAATTTTCCGCTAACACTAAGTACTAAAGGGGCTTGGCACGGAGAGTTCGTAGCTCGTCGTCGGAGGCGGTTCTTTCTCTTTTCTTTTGACCGGCTCAGCGTCGGGCGGTCGGTGGGATTTCATATGGGCACTACGACTTTTGATTTTTGTGAACACTCTGTAGGTATAACAACATGCACGTTAATTATTTTCTTCAATAAAAAGTGGTCCAAAGTTCACTATTTTATATAAATTTCTACCTTTTTATTGGCATATTATAGGGAGGTTCAAATAAGAGTTATAAAATAAATTTCGGAATAATTTCTAAATACTTAATGTTTAGTAAAGATTTGTTAAATTGGTAGAAATTAAAAAATAAATTAAAAAATTCATAAATTATGAATAATGCAATTGATTAAATAAGTTATTTTTTTCTGTACTTATTGGTTTGATATTCTTTATTAGAGACACATTGTATTAATTAATTTGTGATAAAAGTTGGTTAAAATTGGACCACTCTTGAATAAAATATAGAAAGAATCGCAGTAAAAGGATAATTAAGAAACACAAACTTAAAATATCAAGCAGCGAGAGGTAGTAACAGGAGTTTTTTTGTTAAGTATAGAATTTGAGGGATTGAATATACAGAGGTAAACTTTGTAAGATCCACTTTATTCACCTTTGGAAATCCAGAAAACTCTCCTTAAACCGATCACTTTCTTTACAAGCTCACAAGCTTCACAAGCTCACAAGCTTCACAAGCTCACAAGCTCACAAGCACAAGCTCGAATTATGCACCTTACACTTATCCTTCCTTTCTTATTACCTAATTCGCTTACTTTGTGAGCTCTATTACCTGCTTATTTTTATCTTCTTTCCTTATGTTATAGTTAAAATCCAGTCACGAGTTATAGAGAGTTATCTGGACGTTAATTATTTGTGAAAATTCGTAACTTATTTTTTTTTAATTTTATTTTACCTTTGTATACGAGAGTTATGCCGAATAACACCAAAATTGATGTCTGTCATCATTTAAAATTTCGGCATTAAGATCGGCAGTGAAAATGTTGTGACTTGCCCACGTGCATTTCTACTAAACGAAATTATGAATGAAAAATATTTGCTTAAAATTAAATGGTTGTTTTTCTAAATTCACTTAATAGCTAGTTCATTTTTTTAAATAATTTCTGGTTATCAAATAACATATTTTAATAGTGTTTTGTGAAATTAGAAAAATACACATATTAAAATAACAAAACTCCAGTAGGTGAAGGAAGTCCTTGCACTAAATAAACAAGAGTTGCATGCAAAATAAACAAAAAGTGGTATTCTTCCTTAAAATGCCAGGAAAAATACTAAATGTAGGAAAGAATAGTTAACAATACATAAAATTTTCATTAGAGTGTTTCATTAAGCCTAAATTGTAAACTGTAATGTTTCAAATATTCTTCCCTCAAACGAAAAAAAATACCTTATTCCGCACACTGGATGTTGTGTAATACTAATTCAAGAGTATAATAACAGTAATGTATAAAACAAATAGTATATTAGCACGTAAGCAGAGGACGCAACACACCGATCTAATTACCTTTCGGTTGATTTTATGACGAATGATGGGTGTACACTTACTTCCCGCATATCTTGCATGGGTACTCTTCGGTGGAATCTGGATGGCAGACGCTCGACGACGACGTCACCAGCGACGTCCGCCTTTCCGTCGACGTCGACGACGCCGATGGCGTCGGGGAATTTCTCGCCGTACCGCCGTGTATGCGGATGTGGCCGTTGAGCGCCGCGCGCGAATTGAAACTCTAAAAACAAAGTAATTCTTCTAATACCACTGTGATGGCTTGCTAATGAAGCGCTCGGATCCAATCGCTTCAACTTCTTTATACTTTAAGTTAGTACCTACTTATAAGTACAGAGCAACAGTTCAAAGCTTATTATAATGTTTAGGATAATTTAGAACGCTTCCGGAAGGCTTTAGAAGGAATTCATGAAGGGTTAGAACTGTCCAGAAGAATTTAGGATGCTTCAGGAAAAATTAGAACAGTCAATTAAGCCCATCACGTGAATTAGGTACAATGGTCTAGACTCTAGAGCAATTTAGAACGTCTCAGAAAAAAATCTGAACAATTCTGAACGGATGTTCTAATAACCTTCAGAACGTTGATAAAGAAATTGTTCAGGACTATTTATAGCGCTTTAGAAAGAATAAGTACAGCTCAAATAACAGCACTTTAGGTAGAATTAGAACAGTTAAGAACACTTTAGGACGAATTAGGACGGGCCAGAACAGTTTAGAAAGCTTTAGAAAGAATTAGACCAATTAAAAATGCTCCAGAAAGAAATAAAACAGTGCTGTTGATTTAGAACAGTTAAGAACACTTTAGGATGAATTAAGACGGTCCAAAACAGTTTTGAAAGCATCAGGAAGAATTAGACCAATTAATGATACTCTAGGAAGAAATAACACAGTTCTCACTAGCGATGTTAAGAACGCTTTTGAACGAAAAAGAACTGCTAAGAACACTTAAGAAATATTCAGGAGGAATATCCGGAATATCTAGGATAAATTAGAAAGCATCCGGAGGATTCACAACTGCTAGGAACAATTTAGATTGTTTTAGGATTTCATTTTAAACAAGTTTTCTGTACTTACCGCTGAACAATCGTGAAATTCGCATACGAAACTCCTGGTGTCAGGTATTTGCATGGGCGATCCACTATCAGCGATCTAAGGGGAAAAAATAACATTTGTATAAAAGAAATTGATAGGTAAATAGAATCTCACCCCTAACAGTTTGGCGTCCGCGAATAGTTTTTCATCAACGTCGAATTCTCCGTTTCTGTAATAACTGTGTCGCCTCTCTCGCAGATGCTTCAACCTGCGGTACTCGTCTGCGCAGACCTTTTTCCACACGTAATAGAATTGCACACATTGCTTTATGTTCTTTGTTCGAATCTACAACGGTATCATTAACAATAACTGATAGATTAAGCTCTATTTCTCCTTACCTCTTGAGCAATACTCCGAAAGTCTTTATCGTATTTGAGCAGTGACTTGTGGAAGATATCTGTTTCTGTCGTTGACCATTTGTCACTTTCGCAATATTGGTAAGCTAACAAGGGATGATCCGGCGGAAGATTCGGCGAGGGTTGCATTAATCGCAACATGGCATCCTAAAATACCAGAATTAATTAAAATAACTTTACCCGTTTCATCAAGAGATATCTCACGTGAATGTTTCCCCCGCACAAATGGAGCAGGTGCATTGCGTATTCTTTGTTCCTGCCACCGCCTGGTACCGCAGCGCAACACGCAAAATCCAAGTACATATCGACTAAAAAAAGAAGAAGGTAAGATATTGGATACTAGATTAGGACCTGGATTCAAGTAGAAATGTGTTCTACTCTTATCCAGGTTTATTATTTGTACACATAAGGATTAAAGTTCTAGACATACCTTCACTATCCGTGCAATTATTTATACCCGGATCCCACAGGAGGTCTTCGTGAGTAGGTTCTGGGCTGGTCCGGTCAGGATTGGAGAAAAAATTTGAGATTGTACATTGATATTGGGGCCCTACGTTGACGTGCGGCGTGGAATCGCTCTCTGGGATTGGTTCGTTGTTCCAAATTCCATCTTCAGCTGGAAACAGTTAAAATCACCCCTATAATAAACTACAATCCCCCCAAAATGATGAATGATTTTAGTTTGTTACAGCAGGTTTAGTTGATTATTCCCGTAGGACGCTATTACTAACTTGGTCAAGCAACTGGAGATTGTAACAACCTACAATCATACATCATATTTGTAATAGTACATTTAACTCACTTTTGATTAATTTCAAATTGCCATAAAGCCCCGTGCCGGGCCTTTGGGGATTGAGTATGGGTTGTGGAGTGTACCTAGCCGTCCCGGGCGGTTTACTTCTCGTCGCTCTAAGTTTCGATTGATGCAATACAGGCAATTGTAGGGGTTCTGTTCTAGGCCTTTTCCTTGATATTTTTATCGGACTAGCAGGTATCCTAAAAACGCATTACTCAAGCCGACTTTCAATTAATTTACTAACGAGCTACTCACGAAGTAGGACTTAAAAAAACGTCGTTGTTTTCTTCTTTCTTAATAATTTCAGTAACTTGTTTAGGCCTGTTGATGATTTGTTTCGTTGGAATCGTACATTGTACTGTTTTTATCACTTTTTTATCACTACCATTGTCGTGAGTGATTAGAGGTGTATTCGTTAATAAAATATTCTTCGATTGGAAGGCATTCCCGCTGGTTTGAATGAGTTTGATCTCTCCATTAGCGTCTACTAAAATTCCCGCAAAATTCGCACTATTCAGCTCTATTAGACCATTGCTGCTTATCAGCCTGAGAGGGACGCCGTTGAGTTCAATCTTTTTCTTCGGAACGAAATCCTTGGGGTTACTCGACAGCAAAGGATCATCTGAATTGGGTAACATGACTCCATTACACCAACTTCCCGACATAGGATACGTGGAGGAATTAGGAGAGGTCGTAAACGTAGTAGAAGGTTGAGAATGATCAGAAGTCGATACTATATTGGAAATCGGAGATGGTACAGGAGTTAAACCTAAGGGGGACGGAGACGAAGGAGAATTTGTCAAAGGATAAATAGGTTCGTCGGGTAAAACTTCTTCTAATGCTTCTTCCACGGCCGCTGAGCTCGACATTGTGGATGTGTAAAACGCCGCTGATAAAGGGGATGAAGCCTGTGGTGGTTCTTCATAAATTCCTGAAAATCGAGCTAATTAATTTCAACTCAAAATGTAGTCATATCCAATGAAGTCGATATCTTTTAAAGAAACTAGGACATGAGGTACCAAATAGAAGAAGCTAAGCAAATGAAGGAATGAAGATTGTACCTCTTTCTACGATTTGTCCGAATTCCTGTCCATTGGGCGACACCATAGGAAGTATAGTATTCTGCCCAAATCCAGGACTTTGTCCCTCGTGACTGGCCGGCGGCGTTGGGTATGCGAAACCGGGCGAATCGTGCCTGATCAAAGGACTCTGCAGCGGCGATTGCGCCGTGATAGTATGAGGACTCTTGGCATATTGAGCAGGAGACTGGGTCTGGTAATTGGGCGAAGGTAAGCTCGAATGAAACGTGCTAAACTCGGCCAAACTCTCCGGCAACGGGGAATCCAAAACCGCCTGTAACTCGTGATTAACCGTATGGTTCGATTGATAGGAGGATGGCGATTGCTGCATGACGGGCTCCTCCAGATCGATATCCTCGATCTTGATCTCCTGTATCTGCTGATCGTTTTGGTCGCGCAGTAGCGTCTGTATCGACGCCAACTGCGAGGCGTCCACACCCTGCAGGAGCATACTCTCCGGCACTTGAGTGTACACTCCCTCCTGCAAGCTCGACGATATGAACTCCGCTTCCTCGGACTCGTAGGTGATGTTGGCCAGCGGAAAGGATTCGTTCGATTGGAACTGGATGATGGCGGGCGATTGGCCCGGATCGGAGGTGGTCCTCTTGACGGCGGCCTTGTCCTGCTTGAGTATCAGATCGGCCAGCGCCTGCGCCTCCTGCTGCGCGGCGTTGCGGAACGCGTCCGCGTCGGAATGTCTTCGGGATTTTTCGGCGGATTGCGTCGGCGGCGCCGGCACCACGAACGAGGAAATTTTCGTTTCGACGTCCGGCGTCGATGGCGAGGAATGCACGTTTATGGGGAATAGCGGCGGAGCGTTGGGTTTCTGTTCGTCGGAGGATTGCGGCGTGTTGGTTATCCGTTTGTTGATGATTTTCTCTTCTATCAGCGCTCGAACGCTGAAACTAGCCGTTTGTAGAGGAGGCGCTGGGACTTCTTTTTTGTCGTTCTTTTTGTTGTCAGTTTCCTGTAATCGAATATCGACAAAATTAGGAGAGAAGAATTTGTATAATTTTACAAGTAAATCTGGCCAATTTATTAGTAAATTTTATGAATTGTGTCGATTTTTCAAATGATTTTTCAAGTAAATTTGGCTATTTTATTGGCAAACTTGAGAGTTCTAAAAAAGTTCTAAATAATCCTGAAACCATTCTAAGCATGTCTGCGCTTTTCTAGTTTATCCTGGACCGTTCAAAAGTCCTGAATCTGCTTTAAAAATTTTTGAACAGCTCTCAAGGGTTTTAAGATCGTCCTGGAAGGTTCTAAGTGGTCCTGGTCAATTCTAAAATGGTTTTAAGTGATTCTAAACAATAATTAAATGCTATCTCTCTGCATCTCGAGCGATATTACAATGGTCAGATACACTTCTTTCTTGCACTTGTGTTGTTCCTAGGTCCACATTACCGCGGACAGACCCGTTTTATAGCAGTGATGAGACAATATTTGTTAATTCACAAACAAGTCCCTTTCGGATCATCAAACAAGGACTTACAAATGTACTATATACGTGTATACATGCAATGTATTATTAGGTTATATGCAGACTTACTATAGCAAAGCTTATGTACAATTAGATCACAAATAACGTCAGTTAAACTAAATTAACTGAACTTGAAATGGCAGTTTAAACAATGGCCAAAGTGAAATTGTGCTATATGCATCATGCAGATAATTACGATTACATGATTATAATGGCCGGCGGGTGCCTTAATGCAAATAATTAGACAGTCATTCTACGTCTGTCCTGATTTAGGTTGTATTGGCAATAACAATAATGCTGCAATTATTGCAGAATTGCAAAAATGTTAGTTTGAAATAGATAATTATAATTGAAGTGAAATTATTGACGATTTTTAATGAAAACAAGTTAATATAACTTCATTTAGTCGAGAAACTTGTCAATCTTCAACTTTACCATAATTTTATAAAATTTTCCAAACTTTTCCAATTCGTGATACAATTATTTTCCTTATCGAAAAGTGGGAAAAATCGAGCTCATTATACACTTTATCGACAACATCAAAACCACTCAGCATGGAAACTTCATTACCGCGTCTTTTTAAACGAGCAAACTTCCTTTTCCGAGTTTCCCGGACGAATATACATGCTTCGGTAAAACAATACGAACCTTCTTGAAGTATCCCCCGTGAAGTCTCATATGGCCGTTGAGCGCCGGTATGTTTTTGAACTTTCTATGGCACAGGTTGCATTCGACCGGTTTCGGCTCCGTTTTCCCGACGGTCGAATTCACCGGCGATGCGGGCGTCGAACTCGTCGTCACCTTGTTCGACAAACTCGCGCTCGCTCCCGATGTATTCGAACTTTTGCTCGACGTTTGTTGCTGATGGTTCGTCTGGAACAAATAAAAATATCTCTATTTAATGCACGTATAATGGGCGAATGGAGAAGCGATGTGAGCTGCGTTATTTCGAAACAATTCTTGTTGGTTATGGGTACAAACAGTGGATGAAAAATTTTGAGAGTAAAAACTCATGTGACCTTTTTAGAGCATATCACAAGGCTTGTTGATACAGCCTGTTTGCCTTCATGCGGCTTACAAGTCGAGGTTCTACGGTTGTTTCTCTCTGCTTTTATCGCTGCTCTCTTTTGAGCGAGCTAATGCTATAGTTATACAAATTTAAACACACTCAAAGCAGAGTAGACGATCAATTAACCCCCTTAAAAATGCTAAACGCTCCACTTCGGTATAGAAATATTTTCCCCAATTATCCACTACCTGCTGCTGAAGATATCCATAGTAGTAATCGTAATTCCAGTAGTTCATTTTATCGAAAAATTTCACGCTAAAACACGACTGTGCACTTAAAAATTCCGTGGATCATCTCAGCTGTTTTTGAACACTCACTAAACTTTTGATATCGAATCTAAGATTAAAAGGGAACCGAATCGAGAGATCCTGTGACGTCAGCGGTCCAGATAACCGGATCTTCTTGACCAGTGGTGCAGATTGTGCGTAGAGAATTAATATAAAGGGGAAAGTAGAGGTGATTGAACGCCTCGAATATATCGCTAAGAAGTTCGTTGACACATGAATTGGGGATGAAATGAAAAAATTAATTGTTCGCAAAATTTGGTGTATTCCTTATTGAAAGCTTACTGGATTTTTATAACGAGTAAAAGTACATAAAATGTATCTAGTAAGAGTAGTTAAGAGTGCAATTAAGGATTTCTAATTCAAGGTTTATATTTTGAGCCGAGATTTAAAGAGATATTTAATTAAAATTTCAAATGCATATTACTAAAAGGTGTCTAATGATGTATTCAAATTCTGTGAATATTTCTGATGTATGTGACCTGTCAGGATGGCGAAAAATGGCCGATTTTGGCGCGCATTTGTAACGTGTATTTATGGTGTAATCTTCGAATGAGTCCTAATGAAGGGATCCTGTGAGAACCGAGTGACCTTCGACCTCAATTCATTCCGAGCGCTTTTTCTTGCGCACCCTTCATATTATATCAGAGCCACCCTTAATAGACAAGTTCGCCCAAAGGCGTATCGTGAGTGGCGTTTCAAAGGGGTGGAAAATATATTGGGTTTTTTCAAGACATCTCATATTTTAATTCTTATATTATTATAGTAAGTGCGTTAATATCTCTTATTAATATTTGTAACGATTTTACCTAATAAGAACAGCCCTCTAAAAGTGAAATTATTAGGTAATTATTGTAGTACAAAAAGACGAACAAAAATTGAAAAGGCTCTAATAAAGCGCATACATTTTAAATTAATTCTAAATACGTCCATAAATATCAACTTATTTACTGAAGCTCTTCAGTCAACATCGTTATTTTGTAACGTTAAAAGTTACAAAGAAGGATAAAAGCTCAAGAAAGAAATTTCGAGAAATTTCTGTGTATATTGCATCCGCTTATTTTCTCGGCAAACATTTTCAGTGGATAGGACACGGAACGGTTTGCTGTCTGCTACCCGCCTAAGAAAATTAAATGAGACTAAATAATTAATCACGCTGTAATTGAAACTTGCATACGAGAGCCATTTTAAGGGCAGTGGTGTAGTAAGTAATACGGATTTTTTTCGACTCTAATTGTAGTTACGATCATCTATAATTCAGCAGGATAAGCTAGAGACATTTGAAAGTTGAGCAGGTCACGTCTCTAAATCCTCCCGAAGCTCTATTGTGCTCTACTAAATTAACATCTGTTCTTAGTTAAGAATTACCCTAGTTGTTTCCTTTATAACTAGCAGTAAATTTTCCTATAGGTATATGTTCCAGCATAAGTACATTTTGAGCCTTCGAGCGGATATTGTTAGTTGGAAACTTTTCATAGTTGTTTGTCGATGAATATGAAGCTCTGTTCATGTTGATTCTTTGTGAGATTTCCTCGATAATACCGAAACTCGAATCGTTGTAATCTTTATGTACTATCCGCGGGTGCGCCTTCGAAAAAACCTTTGTGCGTAATTTATATTTTAATTCGAATAAAATCCCGGCCAATTTCGACCGGGATTAGCGTCGTAGCGAGAGCAGCGCTAAAAAATGAAATTTATTTTCCTTTTACTTGTCTCGAATTCTGTTTTTCGATAAAGCCTTCGAGGAAATCAATGGATTGGGTAAAGTATTTAGGGAGAATGCTTAAAGCCTTAACCTACCCTCGAGAGATATAAAACATTTGCAATTTAATAAAAAATATAGCAGCTCTGATGCGTGTATGTACGTGGAAGGCTTCGAATTTGTTTAATTATATTACAATTTTATAGCAGAGAAAAATCGTTTATTAGCTTAATTAGGTTTTATAAATGGATAAGGGATGATGTGTTAAATCGCAGAATTTTGTAATATAAAATGTAATAAGCGACGTTGCCACTGTCACAACAAAAAATCTTTAATAAGGTATAAAATCTCACACGTTTCATCAATTTGATTGCAACTTACCGTAGCCAACCATGCCGAAGATTTATTTTGATGCGATTTCGAGGAGGATTTCCCGCCGCCCGGCGACTTGACGGCCGATTTGGAGGCGGCAGATTTATTCGCCGCCGCCGCTGCCGCCGCCACGGCTTGCGATTGTCTTTGGGTCTGTTCCATTATTTGATGTATCAGATCCAGCTGTTGTTTAGTTAACCCGTCATTGTTGCCGCTGTTGACGCTCTGCAATGTAACAAAGGGATGAATGGGGCGCTAGGAATACCTAGCTGAAGGTCTATGGTTTTAATAACCCGGCAATTTGGTTGGCGTTTTAAATTCACATCCGCGATTAATTTGATAATATATCAATTATACCGTTTAACAATGAGGTGGGAGGTGTTTATAGCAATAATGGAAGGAGCCAATCAATACATTTGGGTACATAAATTTTAATGCGTGTGTTACGATATTCAATAGAAAATGGGAGTTGCTATATAAGTGTGTATTAATCTCTATCATTACAAGTTCGTTGCATAATATTTCCTGCTGGCAAGTACCTGTCGCGTCGAATCAAAATTCGGCGGAAAAATGACGGAGAGCCTGAAATATCCCCGTCGTCGATCAACTGCGAAATTAAAACGAAAAGTAGATGGATGAGTGAGTGCGCGCATCCCTCGTCGTGAGAAAAATACCGAGGACATTTATCTGTGTTTTCTCAGAGATAACTTTTTCCCGAAGACAAATGCACCTGAGTCCGGATCACTCGCGGAGGTCGGCATTTGTAATGCTTAAGGAAATGGTGTCAGCGACGGCCGTGAATTTCGGATGAATTCGAGGGAGGTTTTTATGTAGAAAAAAAAATATCCGTTATAAAATTAGTTGGCATGCGAGACTTCCTGTATATTGATTTTATGTAATACGAATATATCTCTCAGTTTACCAGTCAACTTTTGTTGGTAAAGTTATTTGGTATTAGCGGTTGGTAGTTAGTCGCTGTTTTGCTGGAAAAGTTCAAGCTAATTTGTTACTTTATTTTATTTAATTGTTAATTGAGAAAGTTCGTTCGCAAAATTTTAATAACTGTGAAGTTCTAGCAAACGTAATTTACATACGAGCGTTAGCATTCCCTGTTAGAAAATTATTTATTATTTTCTTTGCATTAGATCAACGTTTATAATACTAAATAATCAATAGGATCTAAGAAGGGCGGAATTAAAGCTCCTACATACGCTGTAAAGACTATTTGTCGAAGTCGTGTAGCGGCGAAAACGTTACGTAATCAAACAAGCCCTTTGTACGCTTTGCATATTGGGATTTACCAGGGATGTTCCATTAGCGGAGCCACTAAGAGTAAATATTGAATTCTGGATTAATTCAATCGACGTTTGTTTGAGCGTCAGGCTAAACTTTCAACGTCTAAGTATAAGTAAATCGGATTTGATGTTTGTATACTTGTATTTTGAAATGTAAAAACCAATGAAAGTCGTCAAGCATGAGATGAAATCTTAAAATAATCATCACAAAGTGGAGTCTAGAGAGGTCTTTTTAGAAAAGTCATTACGTCCAAAATACAGTAAAAATCATTAAAATTATGAAGAAACTTTCTGGTATTAATCATTATGAAAGGTTTATCTCCCCCAATTAACAAATCGCCCCTTATTAGAAGACTACAAACATCTACAGTTGGTGCAAAATAAATATCAATGCACGTAACTACTGTCACCATAATTACCAATCATTGTGCCCAACTTTTAGAAATCAATACACAAAATAGATTAAGCTTATTAGCTGCAGAATTTAATATAATATTAACAAGGGATAATAGAAAATGTTAAATAGCAGAATTAAATTATCCAAAAAAATTTATATTGTCAAAATTCAACGTTTGTATATAAAATTATTATTATTTTCTTATAGTAGGTTGGTAAGCACTGACTGTCAAGTTGCATAGTTGCCGTTATCATCCGATCGGTATTTTTAATTTTCAATTTCTCCTTCTTTTTTCTTGTTTACTAGCCTCAACTACTAAATGCTATTCAGGCCTAATAACCAAGAAATAAGAATTTTTTGCGTAGTTATCCTTTCCACATGTTAGAAATCACACAATTTGAGCTCTAAATAATTCAGATTCAGAAGTTTTCTCAGAAATTTCACTATGTACTCTTTTAAGGGTCAATAGCACACTAAATTGTTTGAGCCCCTGAATAAGTCCGTTTAGAAACGTAAAACAGGTCTAAATTTCAATTTGTTCTTGTCATTTTTCCATTTGACAATTTTAGCCAATTCTTAGATTTTGTAAACTCTATAGAAGGTCGGCAACACTGCCTCCTTGTGACATAGTAAAATTATAGGTGAAGTGCATTGCTATTTGTTTTGCACCAACAGTATATACAGGCTATCCCATGACACGATCGAGTCAAGGAACGCCCTGTATAAGCGATGAAAAACTTGCCTTGGCCGGTTCGGATGCCAACAATTGTTGCAACTGGCTCTTCCCGTGATTGTTGCTACTGGCACCGGTGCTATTCGTCGCGACGTCCGTCACGGATGACGTCGCCGAGCCGGACGTCGTCGTCGGAGCCGGCGCGTATTGAATGCAACTCTCCAACTTGCCGCCGTGCGGAGACGCGGCGTCGCCGGACGCTGCGCCCTGCGCCGGCGACAGCGTCGTCGTCGTCGTCGTGACGCCGGTCGACGGCGAGCTGTGGTGGTTCTCCGTGTGCCTCCTCAACGACCTGGCGTCGCAGTAGCTCTTTCCGCACCCTTCCGCCTTGCATTCGTACGGCTTTTTGTTGCGATGGGTCAGCATGTGGCCGTTTCTGGAAATATATTCAATGTTGCCCAATGGATATTCCACACTAAGTATATATCCATTTAAATGTATCAACCTACCCTTTACTAAACTACCCCTTATTACTCTATCGTTTACTATACCCCACTCTTTGTAACACTACCCATTCTTTACTACCCCATCCTTTACTACTTATACTTAAATCTTTACTGCTATACACCCACTAGACTATAATGTTAACAAACTCTAGCCTCGATTGGTTCAATAGCGTAACGTATAGACTTGAACCAGTTTATCTCTGAACGCCCCAATTATCCCAATATACGGTTTGATTGATGCGCTACCGGGTCATCTTTCATTTTCGCGACTCGGGTTACACCGAGCGTAAACATTGACGATTTGCTTGGGAGACGTAATACTTACAGGTGGTCCTGTCGTTTGAACGCCTTGCCGCACATGCTGCACACGTATTTTCTTTCGTCGCTGTGAGTCAGTTTGTGTTTTGCCAAGGCAGAGGCGTTTCCGAATACTTTGGCACAGACCTGAGAAAAATGCCGGAGATCGTGTTAAACGGGCGAAACGGCGGGCGTACGCTCATAACAACAACAAATGATTCAATATCGGTATATTTAGATGGGGAAACTGAGATACTATTACAATGGTGATGTTAGTTTATGTTGACTATACGGGTTGGCCTGCGGCGATGTGGATATTATAGAAAAAACAAGTTTATGTTTCCAGATTTTTACAAGTATAACTTGGACGATTTTTTCACTAAATTGTCGGTTATTTAGATGAATAATTTTCAATAGTCTTTTAAAAGTTCTAAATACTCCTGAAAGCATTTTAAATGATTCTGTTCTAAACGATTTTGGACAGTTCCGAATGGTTATTTTAACTGTTCTATATGATTGTAGTCCTGAACAATTTGAAGCAACACCAGCAAATAAATGTTTAATTATAAAACCATCATCTGTCTTCCTCTCGAGCGATATTAGGTACTACAGATATGCCTACTCTTTCTCTCTTTCTCCCACATGTATTTTTTATCGTCCCTGGCAAACCCGCTATATGATTGTGGTTCATTTGAAGGACTTAACGTGCATAATTTGTGGCCTGAAACTGGTTACATATAGACCAAAATGCTTGCTTACTATTACATATCCATTACCGCCCGGATTTATCCCGTAATAGCAGAAATATTAATGTTGTAAATACTGTAGATACAGAAAAATAATATTGTAGGCATCTGGTATTTGGTTTTTAGCTTTATATTGATTAATTGTAATTTAGCGGAGTGCTTTATTACTCACAAAAAAAAAATAAAACTTCCCATTTCATGTCGACTGGTGCTTCGATAAGAGAAAAAATGTTATTTGTTTGTGTTTATAACCAAAAGAACAACGGCGAGAACGGAACCGGCCGACAAAACAATAGAAAAGCAATATATTCGTTGGAACTACCGCAATAATGCCTCTTACGAACGAGAACAAACAATTTAATAACGTTGTAAAACCCCCCGCTAACAATAGTGCTGTTTCATGGAGAATGCATCGAGCGGCCAATTTCTTCTCACCATGGCTTTTGTACACGGCCAGATGCCACGTTCCGAATGTTGTGTATAGAGCACAGAGCACTCGGAAGCATTCCGTGAGTTTACTCGTGCGTGTGATTTCATTTAATAATTCCTTTATGCATAAATTTATTAGCTTTAAATTAAACATATTACGTGAGTCTACAAAAATGTCAGAACTAATTAAAATATTTCTTTAGAAGTATCTGGAAAAGAAGTAGATACTTACAGTAATTAAAATTTGTTAAGTGGCGTAGAAAAGTATTTGTCGATGCGCTGATAAATGAACAATGAAAAATTAGAAATGTTAATTCCAGCTTTTTACAGAGAATAAAGCTTACTTGCGGAATGGTGAAGGTGCTGGGTCTCACAATTACATTCCCATGAGAGCTCTGTTAACTGAGTTACTCGAAGATAAGTGGATTGCTAATAATGGTACTTTTAAATGATCCAGTCGAGACTTAAATTCTCAAGATTACTCGATATTATTTCGAAATATTAATTAGTAGGTCATCGTCGTCTAACACACTGTATAATAATTGACTATTACTGCACTTTATATTAAAAAAATCAAAAACTTATAATATAGAGTGAAAAAAAAATATGGTTTTGTTGTTCGAATCGACGGGATTTTTCCATCTCGTATATCAACATAAAATTCATTTAATGTAGCACAGTCCCGACTTCATTACGGAACCAATAAAAAAATTCCTCCTCCCGACTGCATATTTAAATGAAACAATGGCGGCGCAAACTCGAAAATGGAAATTTTCATTTAGTTTATTAATAGAACAAAGACACAAAGCTTCCTTTGTTTGCCTACGATATTTTACTCGAAATTTACTTTTCGCTTTTTATTTTATTTTTCCGGACGGCTCCCGTCTGTAAATTTAGCGAGGGAACGATTCGATATTGAAGGAACGACGAATGGCAGCGGATTATTTTCTAAAATGTAATCGGGAAATTTCTTAACTTCCGATTCGGTTTATTCAATTTTATTTCCAACGTAAAAACGAACGACGTTCGTTAACGTTTTACTGCTGTAATTACAGATTTTCGCGATTAATGAGGGAGAATCCAATCCAATGCTTGATTACCTCTACTTATATGAAAATAGAACGAACTTCATCGAAATTAGGTGAGTAAAGTTTTCTTAATAGAGAAAACTCATCAAAATTAGCATAATAATAGTGAAAAATTATAGTTTGTAATAATTGTACCCTGTTCGCCTCTAGGGATAGTACTATTCTTGACTCTACGCAAAAGTTGTAAAATTTTCTAACTTTAATACTAATGTTTACTTTACTTTAGTAGTGCCACTCATTATACCGAGTATACAAGAGTAGGCGACCCTTTTCTAATCCCACAGATAAAATAACCTGAACATAGTGCACTGTCAGTTAATATGGTTTGCTGCTTCTTGAAGGTTTTATTACTATCTCTTGATGGCGAACGGAGTATAACTATTTGGGCATGAATCATTGTTTGGTAATTAGAACAAAATGTTAAAATGCCCAGTTTACATCAGCTCATAACTTGTTGCTCAATATGGAAGTATGTAACAAGAAATATATACCTGGCATTGTTGAGGACCTTGCCTGTTTGGTGATGTAGGTTTAGGCCTGGGACGTTTATTAGATCCTTTAGAGCATTCCGATGAACTAATTGGTTTCTTATCGTCGCTAGTTGTTGTTGAAACTGCAAACGTAACCAATTATTAATAATATTACCTTAACTAAACTAAATATAGGTACTTAAAATTTAATAGGATATGGAGAAAAACAATCATTATTGTTAATTATTAACAGCAGTTAACAGTATGATATGAAATCGATAATTTTTATACCATCCACTCCATAATTCAATGACCACAAAACGAAGCAAATAAGTGAAATCGATTGTGTTTCTTCTGGGGCAACATTTCAACCAGTTCATATCGAAAATTGGTTTTATCGGACTCGTCGAAGTCGCGCGATTGCGAAAAAAACAATTTCTCGCACACGCGATGGAGTTTCTTTCTTTCGCATAAACTCCGAGGCAACTTCGGAACGTATGGAGCCGGAACGCAATTGAATAACTCCCGAGATTTCGGATTCGGAGCAGCGCCCATTGCTAATGACCCGGACTGCCCGGAAATAAAACGCAAGCCGCGTCACTTCCTGACCAGAATAAACCACGCTCGTTCCTTTTTTTTGCGCCTGTTGCGAACAGGAAGTTCGCACGGCGAAGGCCGATTCGAAGACTCCCAACTAAACTCTGTCGCTGATAAATCGCGATTATTTTTCCGGCAGTCGTGTAAAATTTTAAATTTACTCGCTGGAAATTTAATCACCGCTTTCTGAATGACGCCCGTTAGACCAATTTAAGTAGTTTTATGAAACTCGCTAATTATCCGACGTTTCGCTCGGAGCTCGCCCTCGACATGGCGCAGTCGAAGCTTTTAATGAGCAGGGAGTTTGAAAAAACATTTAATTTGATTTACGCGTAGGGAATTTTTTACAGATTCATTACTTTGTATGTATTATTTTCTAGTATGTTGTATTACGTGTGATCCGAGCAGGATATTCTGTACAAGAGACGTTGCGAATATTTCGAAGAGTTTGTTTCTACCGTTTGTTAGGATGCGATAACCGCACGAATAAAAATTGAGTTATGAGATGAAGCCTTCAGTCGGCTATTCCCGGTGGAAATAAGTTTGTTTGTGCTAACTTCGCCGATCTATTATCCGTTGCCGCGGCGACGACATTTGTCAATATCAATAAGTGCTCTCCGAGGGTCGCATATATTATGGGATTAGGGAAGCGAGAGCCGACTTGAAGGAAACGGAAGAATTCGTCGGTTTCTTAAGTCTTTATATTGAATGATTAAATCAACTCCGGGTGTTGTGTTCCGACGTGTACCCGGAGCTCGGCTGAAAAGCTCCCCGGAATATAAGTTTACTTTCGAATGTCGCGGTTCGTTATTTGAGGAGCATTATTTTTCGAAATTGAATTCCCTGTGATTTTGCTTTCTTGGTATAATTTTTGCTTTCAACTCTTATTTTACAAAAAAATATTTAAAATTTTTAAATTCATCATACTCGATTACTCGAGTAGTGTGCTGTACGTTTGGAAAAATCCTCGCAAACGCCATTCGAACATGATGCCAGTGGAAAAGGGCCCTTATGCTGGCACAAAAGATAAACAATGGTCGTGAAATATGTCGTCTCGTTGCGGGCTTTTATCGATGAACGGCCGAACAAAATGGTCAGAAACGTTCCTAAACGTTAATGAACAGATGAATTTGCGGTCGCGCAACTCCGCATTCATCGCTTTGTCGTGTATTGTGTGCATATGCGGCCCGTTCGGGCGCTACGTCCTACTATATAGGTGTATTCGTGCCCGTCGGTAATTAAATTGGAAAGCCGATGGTGTTCTGATCAGGATTCCGGACAACTTCGACGGCTATAGAACTTTTGTTGGTTGCGCCTTGATTGATATTTCGAACACGACGAAAGATTGTATCGATTTATTAATGTGTATGTATGTGTGAGTGAAAAAAAGATAATGAAAAAATATAATTAACTGCAGTTAATGAGGAAGTGGAAGTGGAAGAAGCTAAAGTGGAAGGTTTATATTTCATCGTCTATCATGTATTACAAAGTTGAATCATTTAAAAGAAATTTCTTTTAGCATAATATAATTTGGGAGTTGATGTATTATATTTGTTGAACTCCTCCATCTTAGTATATGACGACCTCCGAGGCGTTGTTTCGTATTTTTTAATGAATTATTTTCCGAGTTCTGAAAAAGTAATTTTCAACTTTTCAATAATGTCGACGACGAGCTGGAATCGACTTTTGACGAGCCTCTGTATTTTTATTATCTTCCATGTAATTTCGAATCAAATGCTGTTCTTACAGTTTCGTTTACCTCGGGGATTTCGAGCGAGATTATCGGAAAAAGGTCTCGAGGATGAAGTTTTTTTCCCGGTTATTTTCAGACTCGAGAACAATCATCAATCTTGTCGGAGTGACGTTATTTAGAAAATTGAGAAACGGTTAAAGGAGAAAAATACAGCTAATGAGGCTACTTGAAATTCAATTTCAATGATGCTAACGTTTCATTTGGCTAAGTAACAAGCTTTGATGAATATTTTTCGACGAGCCCCTGTCTAGTGACCCGCTCGAGCAGGATTTTAATTTAAATTTTAATTACGATTTTACCGTGAAAATTACAAAAATAATGTTCAGGATGCAAAAAGTGTTTGTACAACCAATTATTCAATTACCTAGTTCCAAACTAATTAAATTTTAATGTTAAAAAAATATTTTTAACCACACAATGTGAATGAAAAACCTCTGCATTCGGTAACAATTTCAATCAAATGATTAAAAACCTTTCAATATATGATTTGTAGTTAATTAATTTTTAATCAATATTTGCGAACTGACAATAGTAAAGGGTTCATTTTGAAAAATATCAAACGCGTCCAGAGCAGATCATGTCTTGGCAAGCATTCCGGGGCTTAATAAGCGATTTTTTCGTAATATACGCAAATTTATTCGAAAATACCGACAGCCTACCGTTAATGAAGATTCAAAGTTTGCTTTCACAGCACCATCAATAAAAAAATTAAGTAGAAATTTGACTAATTTTCTCTTGAATTTGAATGCGGAATTAGTTTTATCTATAAATTCGCTTGTCTATAATAATTGCTTGATAAGTAAGAAAAAAAGAAATTCAAATTTAATTAAGACGATGGCAAGAAAATAAAATTAATTTCCATCGCTAGCAAATTAGAGTCTTCATTAGGCCCCCTTGTTTACAACAAATCGACCATTTCTATAAGCAATTCCGGGTAATATTGTCCAGAATCATTCCATTACACATCAGCGACGTTAATCCTCTCAGAAATCGAGGGCCGAACTCATATTTCTAATGAATTGGGTTAGATACCGACGAAATCCACTAAAACCTATTAATTGTATTGGATTTAAGAGACTATTCAGAATTCAGTCTAATGGCGGAAGATTATTCTATGGGAATCGATTGAACGAGAGAACTCTAAATGGGAATTGCGATCTGCATTATCCAGAGAAACCGGAATTTCAAAGATCGAGAGGTTTAGTTTTAATTTGAAAAATCACCATATAATATCTTGAATAACCGCACTTAAAATATTACTTAAAAAATCCTATTAAAACGAGCAAATTGTTGGTTGCTCATAAAATTCCATTTACAGCGTAATTAATTTATTCCTGCGGTTAGCAGGATTTTCGGCAAAGTTGAAATGTAATCAAAACGAATGTAAACATTAGAATAAATTATCGAACGAAGCTAAAAGTAACATCAACCCCAAACATACGAAACAAAGCTTTGTTTATACAAAAGCCCGCGATAGACACACAATAATCGAATAAAACCATCTGACCATTTTTATTACATACATGTTTTATTATACATAACTTCTGTAATATCGCTTTGAACATGTTTAAAATTGAAATAGAACGATTCGACTTTATGCAATGCAGCGAAATTTAATATTAAAACCGGGGTAGGCATTATATCGATTTAAATTTTAATAACGGTCCACTCGCTTCATTAATGCAAATTGATAAAAGTTATAACAGATCGTGATTTCATTTTAAAATCGGAATTATTTCATCTCTATTTCAACCGGGCGATGTGTAATTTCGGATGTAAATTTTCGATGCGACAGCTCTAAAATTCATTCCGAATGACATTAAGTCAAAAATAACTTTCGCGAATAATTGAGCCGTGAAATTCGACTTCTGTGAAAATTTATTTCCATCCTGAAGTCGCCTGAATGTACCGAGACGTTTTTTAGAACAATTTTATTAAATGTACCTAAATAAAAAAGTTAAGCTTAAACCCCGAGGAAAATTTTAATTTTTGTAGGTGTTTTGTACAATGCCTTCTTTATGTTTTGCTCATATTTTGTAAATAAAGTAGATGAAATAAATAAATGTTTCTGAATTCTGAATAATAACGAATTTAATCGTATTCAAATTTGGCCATGATGGTAGAGGACTTTAGGAAAACGCTATATGAAAATATAGCTGAAATAATCGCCCTAGTAGGTACTCATGTGTGAAAAATTCAAAGAAACATCTCCTGCTAAGAGTTTTCCTGATATTCAATTTTCAGTTTTGTTTTGATTGAATTTTTATTTTGTCACGTACACATTTTCGATGGATTTATATGGAAAAATGTATTTGGGAAATATTCAGCGAACGCTTTGATTTGCCGGCGTTTTTTTATTACCGGGTATTCCATGGAATTCCATCGATCATTTTGTTGCAAACAATGCGTTATTACGATTCGAATTTATTGTCAGTATTTTGAAATCAAATTCCTAGTTAAAAGGAAATATAAATGTACCTATCGAATAAAACGCTCTCTATACAAAATACCATAGCGTTCATTAATCATAACATTTTTAGAGTGTTTTTTTTCGTAAATGAATTATTCCTACATATTCGATATATTCGTGAAATATACTTCCCTGCTAAATAGCTTCAACATCAAAAATTTATTGATATTGGAACAAAAAAAAACAAATAAAATCATCTATGAAAAATATTCGCAAATACGTTGCTTTTGCCAATTAATTAGTTACATACATACATATAGTACATTATAATAATAGTTAATATTTGAGAGATTAAATGAAGCTTGTAAATAATTCAAACGAAAAAGCCCTAATAAATAATTCCCTCTAACGGTACAGGATAAACAATTACTACAAGCGAAAAATGCACTTAGTCGAAGCAAAAATAAGGAAAAGAGGATTTAAATACATTTTAGAATAATAAACGACAGCACTAATGTACTTTGGGTGAAGCTTTTAATGGTAGATAACTGATTTCAAACCGATTTGCGGTAATTTATTTTCGAATAGAAATATTAAAATCGAACACGTAAATAGTCGTTTGTAGATTCATGAATATCGCATTATCTGGAAATGCTCAGATGCCAAAATGATCCCAAAGGAGATTCCATTTTATAGTCGATAAAAAAGAATAAAATGGAATTTTGGATTGATAAGGATCTAGAGTAGTTGGGGAATTAAAATCACTTTAAAAATCAGCTCAAACTTGTGCATCTCAACTGTGGAAATTTTCGTGTCATATCCAGATTTCACATTCAATTCCTCACATTTCTGACTATGGTTGATGTTTAAGATTTATGTTTTGTTGAGCTGGTATATAAAAGAGTATAAAAAGTAATTTCTAATTATCAAAGATTTGCAGTAATAGGATAATAAATATCACTATAAAAACCAGCTCAAACTCGTGTAACTCTATAACTGGAGGATTTTTTGACTTAATTCAACCGATAAAAAAGTACCTACCTAATATTAAATTGAAAAAGGATAATTATAAACGACTGGCAGATTATTTAAAATGCAAAGTTCATTTTCCAAGTAATTTATCCAAATGCATAATAAAATAAATGTTTCATTAACCAATATTTAGAGAGTAACTCGGGTATCAAAATAAAAAAAAAGGAAAATCAAATGAAACTCGTACATCTCTAGGCAGAAGTATTCGCACATTTTCATATCAAATATATCCCACATTTCTGTCGCTAGTTAGATATGTTTTTAGGTCGATGTTTTGTTTACCCGATTGAGCGCCGTTTTTCAAATTATCGACGTCCGGCCTATTAGAAAATATCACCGAAGCGCATGCAATGATTTATATCTATACCGACCTGCGTCGCCGTCCGTCGGGACGCCCAGGCTGTCGGAGTTATCGTTGATGAAGGCCTCGGCTGAATTGGTGAAGGTCTGCGGGGAGAGCGTGAGGTCCGGGCCGCTCGACGAGTCGAAGAGATCGAAGGTCGCCGTGACTGCATCGCTCCCACCTGAAACACAAAGAGGGCCCTCTTGAGACTGCACGACGCGGCCCCCCCGAGGGGCTTCGACGCCGCCCTTTCGGGGACGGTGCGTCAAAGTTTCCCGCTGCCGAGATATAGGTGCGCTTTTGGGACAAGGGGCGCTTGACAATTATTGCTTTTATCGGAACCGATGCGTCCTGTTTATAACGTGTTGTTGGTAAATCTTTACCGGTTGACCATAAATTTGCGTTGATAATTATATTGTTCGCTAAAGGACTTGCCGTAAAACGATAATTGTTGTGTATATATTTATGTAGATGAAACGACGGTGATTGTAATTATTTTATTGTGTTGTAGTTGATCGTAAAATAAAACATTTGATATCCGGATGAGCTAGTAAAATATTTTTATTTCCCGATTTCGTGATTACTCCGGAAATGGCAATTTTTATTATCGGACTGGAAATGTACGCTGCAGCATTTAAAATTATAATTAAAATATCGACACTATAAAAATACAGTATAGGCCAAAAGTCCCGTTTTTAGCGCCGTTTATTCCTCTAATATACAGGGTGTTCCAAAATGTCTATGTGCTAATATTTAAGGGGGTGATTCCTGGACCTATTTTAAGGAAAAAACTTCATATGAACCTATGTTCTAAATGTCTTAACTATTGAGATACATGATGGTAAAAATTTAAGAAAAAAATAATTTTTTGTAATAACTGTGATACTATTGTAGATATCTTTATGAAATTTGGCACACGTCTACTATGAATCAAGATGCATTTTCTGATGTACAAATAATTTTATTATTTTCAGCAGTGTACCGGTTTTACATTGAATATTTTTGGAGGAAACCACTGCCTAATATTGAAATAAAAATTATTTTTGGAATCCTCATTTAATTTAGAACAAATTTAAATTCTTGACTTTTTTCCATACGACTCATCGTTTCGTATTAAAAAAATAAATGCATTCATTTTTACCGTGCCGCTACATTAGCGCTGTGCTAAAATTAAAGAATAATAAATTTTAGGTTTAGGACATATGTTCATATGAAGCTTTTTTCCTAAAATGGGTTAAAGAATCACCCTCTTTCAACCTCTGTATAAAAACATCCATACAAAATAAATACGAAAATCTCTTGATTAAAAATCCCACAAGCGGATCACAAATCCCGCATTTATCACGGAACCTCGCCCGCCGAAAATCCAGTCAAACTCCCAACAAAAGACTGCCCATCCCAGACCCGCGTACGTCGACCATTATAGTCACGTCCGCACCGCCGTCGACTAGTTCGTTATTTTCCTCGATTCGTCCTAGTTCGAGCCGCCTAGTCATCCTAGAGTTTAAATCTGAATGGAAAAGGAAACTGGCAGGAGACGTGCGAGTAACGTCCCGCGGGGGCACTTCGTCATAGTCGCCTTGGACCGGTCCAAATTACCCACATACATCACCGTCTCTCGCACTGGCTCCGCAGAATACTTATATTCCATAACATTGGCGTAACATTATATAGTTTTCTTATAAATCCAATAAAAAAATCAATTATATACAAAATTAATCTAATTTCTCCGGAATTTATACCCTTATAACTAAATGTATTAAACTATAGCGAGCGTCATCAATTTCGCATTTTCCCCAACACCCACCGTCAAGACAGCCGTTTAATATTTCATTAAAATCCTAATGATTTCCTATTTACGCAGCGATTTTCAAACTATGAGCCCTTTGAAATCCTTCACATCGGTCCCCGCGGATTAATTTCGCCGTTCCCTTAAATTGCTAATAAAACACGGAATCCCCATTCCGTATCCACGCTAATGATCCCGGTCAACGGGGGGGATTCAAAGGGGTCGAGGGGTAGTCACCTGTTTTATTAATTAGTACAGGATATGCACGTCCGTTTTTGTTTAGTACAGGGTAAAACTCGATCTAAACTGTTATGTAGCATATAACGTTGTTGAAAAGCGAGGAATGGTGTAAAAGGGTAGCTGGTACTTCAACATGATGTAGGTAACTTTTTTGATGGCGAATTAATGAGTTTAATTCAACTATTAGCCGAGCAGCAAAAAGCCAGTAAAGCTGGAAAAGTCGAATCATTTAGTTTTTCCACGCGACGTAAGATATTAATTACGCTCGGCAACAGATAGGAAATTTTAGTAGCATGATGTAGACGGTTCCGCAACAATTTAAATCCTACCCCATATCAATTTCGGCGCGATAGTTGAAAGGATTAAATATGTTTACGCGTTGATTCGAAATAATTCGAATAAGGTAATTCGAGCTGTTAGTGCGGAATATTCGGAAAGGCTGTTCGGATTAACGAGCAATTATATTTAGCCCGTTCGCCTTAATCTAGTTTTACCCCGTTCACATTTGGTGGAATGGATTTGGAACGCGCGGAGAACCGGTCGATTACACTTGATGGCTCTCCCCTGACTAATTATTTTTTATCAATTTCATTTATTCAACTTCATTCGTACTACCCTTTACCTGCATTGAAAAATATTCAACTTTTAACTTTTGATTTATTTTTAATAGTGCAAAGTACATATGTGAGGCGTCGCAACGTCCCCACATAATTTTAATTATTATTATTATTCAAATTATTATTTGAATTATTAGTATTACCTATCCTAAGTCGTACTCAAAAAATATATTAATCGATCACTACCTATTAGATATGTAAAAAATGATTATAATAGAACAAAAAGTACTCATTATGTGAGGCGTCGCGACGCTCCTATTAAACAATAGGTACTCAACAAATATGTGGTATATTTATCGAGAACTGTTGCATGAAAAAATCGCGTTATACCTGTGATTTTAATAGAGCCAACGAGTGATAATTATGCGGGGGCGTCGCGACGCCGCCGCTGCGGCTCGCAATTATCCAGGTGGCGTTGGTCGGGCGTTCGGCCCTCACGTCTACCGACTCAATTAATAGCCGACTCGTTAGCGGGCGCAAGTCGAACCATCCGATGAATTTGCTAATCAAGAACAATTTCAATTTATATTGTTGGCAAGTCTGCGGACGGCGAAAACTAAGGCTAACTTGTTAACCGAATTCCGTTTTCTCTGATCGTCTGCCGGAGCGTGACGCGCACCCAAGAAAACCGGGAGGTTGAGTAGGTGCGAATTAGGGGCTTGTGCGAGGAAGTTGGCTGTGATTGCGAATTGTATTACATCAGCAAGTTAAGACGTGAAGGCCGAGATTCCATGTCCTAGTTTTCACTAATACCTATATTTATACATTTTTTTTATTATACGCACACTTATACAGGATAGGTACGCCATATTATTTTCGATAGGTAATTTGAAACCCTTCTTAAAAATTCTACTCATCTATACTCATCTTTCAAAAGCCACACATAGTTAGGTACTTTAATTATAGAAACTTTTACTAAATTTTGAATGTTGCATTGTACTAACTTTCTACGTTTTCAACTTGCTAGTTTTCAAGAAGGGTTTCAAATTACCTATCGAAAATAATATGGCGTACCTACATAACGAAACCGCTGGCAATTTCCATTTTTCTTGTGAACTTTCTAGAGCGTGTGCTGGTAAAGCGGAAATTAAAACAGATATCCAGGTATAATCCTATATCCGCACACAAGGAAATTGATACCTTATCTCAGATGTGACATTCTCGTTTCGATAGCGCTTCTTTTGGAAACTATATCTAAATTAGATAATTTAATATCTGTTCCAATACAAGTGCGATTAATAATATTGTTAATACTTCGAGTGAAAATTTGTCTATATTATTTTCGAAAAGCTTAGATAATTTAATTGTTTATTGACAAAAGAGAGGTATAAATTATTTAAATGTCGTTGAGGGAAACGGAATTTCCGCTCCGATATACCCGTGAGGACGATAATTTAAAAACAATCGCGATATTTCTCCATTCTCGCGTAATAATACAACAAAAGTCCATTATCGCAGTCACAAATCACCGATGTTCGATGGGCTTTCGGCCTGTTTTTGGCAGTAGGAAAAAATCCACGGATGTTTTAATTCGCGAGTACGGCCAGAAAAATGCATTAAAGAAGGATTCCTAACTTTTCCGGATCTATCCGGACTCTTTATACCGAATATAATTCAGATGGAGCGGAAATTTGCATTTCCCTATCTTTGCCAAACTTTTAATGGAATTAAAATGGTAATTTTATTGGAGAAATGCCGACTATTAATTTTAAAGTGCAGATAGGGATAAGTACGGCTAATACTGAATAAATATTGTGAAAGTTTTGTCCTGTTTGAAAAAAACCTCCGTGCTTTTTTGCGCTTTCTACATTCGTGTGTTACGGTTTACATAAACTGTTTAATTGGTTTATCTGCACATAGCGGTTTCTGGATTTCATTTAGAATTTTCCAAAAGGTCATAAACTACTGTTTATTTGCTAACTTCACAAAAATAACATTTTTCATTTTTGGTGCATGATTCAATTCGCCATAAATTACAGTCACCAAAATATACCAAACAAATCCCTTATCGCGAAAATACCAACAAAAACATAACGAACCTTATCAATGAAATTGGGAGAATAGGAAGGAAAAAAACGCCACTGATACTGAAAAGAGACTCTACACGGTGTTCTTACTCAGCACTTTTCGCCAACTTTCCGAAAGCCCTGCAGGAATCAGTAATGAGGGACCGAACGATTCGATAATTTTACTTACTGCGAAAACTTTTGCTTTGGCATGCAAAACTTTTCCGATTATCGATTCCCTAGCTCTCATCGTATATGGGGAAGTTAAATGTATTTCACACGCTCGATCGTCTTCTCGCAAAACTCCAGGAAAAAACGACTTTATTACAGTCTTTCTATTAGTCCTTATTTATCCTCATATAATAGTAAGTTTATGAGGAAACCTACTTAGCATTTGATAATTGTAATCTTCAAGAGTTTGATGTAATAAGAGTGTTGCATATGAATTAAATTATTAAATTCTAATATTTTTATAGCAGCTCGGGGGATAGGCAATTTAGGTTTGCTTTGTTAAATATGCCTCCCTATC